GGAAAATTGAATGAAAGATCTTCACATTAGGAATTTTTATAGATCTATCAAGGGCATTTGATCTAATAAACCATGAAAAACTGTTAAAAAACTCTATTCATACGGTATAAGAGGAGTAGCATATAGATGGTTTTCCTCTTACCTTGGAGAAAGAAAACAATATGTCTCAATCGAAACCTATGAATCAGAAAGGCTCCAGATTAACTGCGGAGTCCCACAAGGCTATATATTACGACCAATACTTTTTACTTTATTTATAAATGATTTATGCCATATAACTATATCAGCTAAATTTTTATTATTTGCCGATGACACGACTATATACTTTCATACTAAAGAACCTAACAAAGATTTAAATTCTATCAACAATGAAATTCAATCCATCGCCAATTGGTTTACCTTTAATGATTTAATAATAAATTATACAAAGTGCACATATATGATATTTGAACCAAGAATACTACCCAATTGTATCACAGACTTAAATATACAAATCAATGGTAATCCTATATATCGATCGAGCTCAACAAAATTTTTAGGTATCTTCAACGATAACTTATCCTGGGACTCGCACATTAATGTTATCTCCAAAAAAAATAAATAAAACAATAGGTATATTATATAAAATAAAAAATAAAATAAAAAATAAAATAAAAAATGTATTATTAGAATTATATTATACCCTTATTTATCCAAACCTAACGTATTGTAATTTGCTGTGGGGAAACAGACCAAATTTACACATGCAACATATTTCCGTTAGCCGAAACCATTTCATTCGTCTTTTTTTCAATCTTCATCCTCGCTGTCATATTTCTAATTATTACAATATTTTACAAATTTTGAATGTTAAAAATTTGTATACCACTTGTATACCTTAGCTCTTTTTATGTATAAATATGTACACTGTGAACTCCCGTTGTTTTTTAAACATTTCTTCAACTTAAGAAGCTCGATTCAAACTAAAGTATTAAGGAATGCATCAACTTTTTATCCCAGTTATTCTAGATTGAAAATAATAAATAATAGCTTAAAAATTTCTGGTCCAAAAGTTTGGGATGAAATTATTAACACAGAAATTAAAATATATATGTCAAAAACATTTATTTAAAAACAAAGTCAAAAAATTTTTGATTGAGCAAAAAACTTTTTTTTTAACTAGATATCAAAAAAGCAATCATATTTTGTATGTATGTGTGCGTGAGTGGGTGAGTGTGTGTGTCAGGTGTGTGTTGGGTGTGTTTGTGCTTCTATGTATCATAGTCACCTTTTCTTGAACAACATTTATTTACATTTATTATTTACTAGAACAAGAATTTCTTATCATTTGGCTAACTTATCATGTGTATACAGTTTTCATATGTTTCCATAAATGTTATTTTTAATGTGTAATTGTTGTAAATATACTTCATATTTAAATCATTATGAATATTTATAAGTATGTATGTATATGTGTATTCAGGCAGCGTGTTTTAGGAATATGAATTATGTTGGGCTTGGTTGGGTCTGCCGGGTTATTAACAATCTGGGAGATTCGATCAGGTTCGACGAAATATGTATGTGTGTGTGTGTTTGTGTTTGAGGGTGGGTATAGGTGCGTGAGTGCGTGTGTGTGTGTGTTTGTGTGTGTGCGTAAGTGCTTGCGTGAGAGTGTGTGTGGGTAAGTGTGCGTATGTGTGTTTAGGGTGAGTGTGTGTGCTTGGGTGAGTGTGTGTGTTTATGTGTGCGTGAGTGTGCGCGTGTCTGTGTGTGTGCATGTGTATGTGTAGATATGTGTATATATGTATATAAATATTGTATTCTAGGAGCGTTAACCAGGGTACAGCGGGGGTGTATATGGAGAGGCACATACCTATGTGTAAGATGTCCATGCACTCAGCTGTGCCCTGAGACATATGGTCACGCCCTATATGTGTATGGTGTGTGGCCATATTGGTTTATGTGTCTATTTATTTGAGTGTGTAAGTGAGCGTATGTTTGGTTTCCAGATCATTTCATTTCATTGATTCTGTTTCTTCAGTTCTGTATAGCAGTATTGTGATATGAATTGTAGTATGGTGCATGTTTATAAGTATGTGTGAGCGTGAGTTTATGTGTATGTATTTCATGACATTTCTGTTACATCTATAGTTAGAAATTTTAGTTAAGGGTGGCCTATCCACAAGTTTATCTTTTTTTGGTCATCTTTCCAGAATAAAAAATTTAAAAAAATACTGTTTAAGTCTAACAATATTTGTTTTTTTTTACATCGTTTAAATACTTTTAAACCATTTTTATTGATAGTTTTGTACATCATGTAAATACTTTAATTTTAATAAAGTCAAATAAATTCATATAAAATCAAAAACATTATCTTGTTTTTGTGTGAATTTTAATTATTTGTCGAAACCGTGAGTATTTAACGTTCGTGAGTCGACCGTTTAAATTTGAATTAAATTTAATACATTGAATATTATCAAAATCGAAATTTACTCATATTTCAACATTTTTTTATTTAATGTTCATTATTTTCAACTATTTGACAAGTAATGATCTAAAAAACTTATCTAAGAATTAACTTGTATTAAATTATTTTCAATTTGATATAAATAAATAATCAAGCGCTAGAAAATTCAAAATGGGCGGTGTCAATTTATTAAAAGTACATTAGGTTTGTAAACATGGACGATACCATAAAAGTATCTATCTCCGGTTTTACCGATTAATTTATTTATAACAATATAAAAATTATAAATTCAATCAATCTTCATTTATAACAATATAAATTGATCATTAGTATTATTTTTTAAATATTAATATTTCATTTTTACAATAAAATTTTTACCGATTTCTTTTCGTTTTCTAGATTCTAATTTAGTTTAGGAATGATGTGAGCCTCATTAATGAAATGATATGAAGTAAATGAAGTCCATCATCATCATGATTCGTGGGTGCTGGTAGAATGAATGAAGAAATCTTTATTTCAGAAAAATGAGGATCACTAACGAACTTATTATATATCTTCAAATTTTTTGATGCATCAAAAAAATGGCAATATTCATTTTTTAACGATTAAATACGGTTATATAAACCTTATAAATTAGCCTAAAACTTCACAAAATGATAAAAAAGAAATAAATTTTAATAAACGAGTTGAATGCAGATCGGCAGAGTCATTAAAATAACTTCGGAAAGGCCAAGATTTTTCTAATTATATCTCAGATTTTTCTAAAAATAAACCTAAATGCTCATGAATAATTAATTTTTTAAGAACTTGCCTCCAGAGGAAGCTTGCCCGTTGAAAAAAACTTCAATGTTAAAACGCCGGTAGGGCGCTTCCGGTTATATGATTCCATGAGTAAACCATAGACATCGCAAACGTAGAAATTGTTTAAAGTGTTGTATACATGGATATATATAATGAATATGGCAAGTCTCATATATATATATATATATTCATACATCGGTTAAATAAATTTTTGCAAAAATCTCTTGATCCATAGAACCAAAAAACGTCAATGAAAAATTAATTTTAAAAAACATTTAGCTTTTTATCTATGTTTAGAATATCGTCTAGTTTTTGATTATCATCATATCTTCCGTAGTTGAGTTATTACCAAATAAGAATTTCGCTTTGAAAAACTAGCAACATAAGTTGGTAATGTTTGATTGCTAACGTTGCTGGTGTTTTTCAGTTGCGTTGGGCTTTTATGATACTAATTCCCTAAATTACAAGTTGCACTGTTATTCCTCACTCTGCTCTGCAATGGATATTTTGATAATCAATCACAATCATTCATTCATATTAATTTGTCTTCTTTACGTTTTATTTTATTATTGTTATGAACGTGATTAGGGATGCACCGAAGTTCGGCTCCGGCCTCGGCCAAAATCCGACTTTTTTTAAATGCGGACTCGGCCGGATTTGGTGGCCGGATTTAAGGGTCTATCAACATTTAAAAATGTTATAAATAGAAAAAAATTTTTATTGAATTTAATTAATTTATGTCAATAAGTTAAAGGCTAAACATACATGACACATAATAACAACATCACTAATTGTGAGGTGAGCTGGACAATTTTCTTTATGCTATAACATGGGTTATGCTTAAATTAAAAGCTAATCTTTGTGTAAAAGAATTTGTGCACGTGTATATACTATATAATTGTATATGACGGATCATTTAGCTACATTATATATATATATATATATATATATATATAGAGAGAGAGAGAGAGATACATAAGCACATAATTTAAGAACATGGTATGTTAAAGGTTGGCTAGGTATACATGACACATAATTACAACATCACTAATTGTGCGGTGAGCTGAACTGAACAATTTTCTTTGTGCTTTAACAAGGGTTATGCAAATATGCATAAATTATAAGCTGATCTTTGTGTACAGAATTTGGCGTATCACACAGCTCTTCATATATTTGAATTAATTAATTATTTGCTTGGTGTTAATTTTTGATGTTGTAACAACATGTAGATAACTGTAAATGTATTTTTTCTAACGTATGTAAAATGGTAACTAAAATCCGGCCCCGGCCGGTTTTTGAATTTTAAATCCGGCCAAGTCCGGCCCCGGCCGGATTTAAAAAACCTGAATCCGGTGCATCCCTAAACGGGATATGTAAATTCATGAGAATGTATACCAAATGTATGACTGCTCATAATTACTGTAATAACAATAGCTGACAATCATTAATTTGAGTACCTTTTTTTTTGAATATATAATCATCTGAAGCTGAACCAAATTTCATAAACTTTCATGTTGTCTCTTGAATTTGCATTGTATATATAAAAAGTGGGAAAATGTCTGTTTTCAATTTTAATAATTTCTAGTTATTGATAAAAACCAGAATAAATTAATTACTAATCTGCCTATATATTGTATGCCATGAATATGAAATGGACTGTTTTTAGCAAACTGTGTTAATTTTACATTTAATCAGTGATAAAATAAATAATATTTAAATAAATTTTTTAAAATGTATTTTCAATAATTTTCTTTTAGCGATTAAAATAAGGATAGTTTTATATTTAAGTGCAAATCATTTACGTAAGTCATTGGCAACTAATTTGACAACAAAGAGACAAATATTTAAAAATATTTTATTAAAAATTGTAAATGAAATGATATCTTTTTTCCATAGAAACTTCCAATTGATATAGCATTATCTAAAGTTTGTCTCAAAAAAGTTATATTTTGTATGAAAAAATGAATTAGATAAAAAAATGAATTATTAAAACTGACAAATAATGTAAGGAAAGGGTTAAAACTGATAAGTTTACATTCTGAAATGAAAAAAGTTGATATAATGATGACTTGAAACTAGTTAATATATTGCTGCGGTAGATTAATGATCAAATATTTACAAATGTAGATGAGAATGCAATAATAAACTCTTGCAGAAAAAATACTGAATTTTTTTAATGAGGTTTTCCCATTGCATTCTCTTAATATCATTCTTTGGCTGTCTGAATTTAAATTTAACTTAATTAATATCAACACATATTATTTATACAACTTTGAGTTAACATTATCATTTAGTCATTAGTGCATTTATTATGTTACTAATATTATTTATTAATATTATTTATAATTGTTTGCTGATTATTATAATTATATTGCATAGTGTTATACTTTATAGCTAAAGTATAGTGTATAGTATAGTCTAAATTAAATTAACCAGTATAAAGTAACATTTTCATCTAAATAAGATGAGTGGCATTTTGTAATGGAACACACAGGCATTTTGATTTGGTTGAGAATCTGTGTCTGTCAAATCAAATACTAAGCAAATATTTTCTAATTAAAAGTGTATTATTGTTTTTAATATTATTTTAACAAGTTAAGAACTAAGATTCTCTAATAGTTTAATCTCAATGTCATGTCATGTGTACTTAGCTATTTATGTATGTATGTGTATTGTATATGTATGTATGTATGTGTAGGAATGTAAAATGTATAAAACGAAATGTATAAATGCAAAACATTATACTAATCCCTTTTCTTTTTAAAATGTACTAAATATAGTATATAATATATAAAATGCAATACGAAATCGAATTTAAAACAGCAAGCGAGACAAAAACTTTGCTAGCGATAATTTCAGATCAAACGATTAATCAAAGACGCTGACGAAGACAACAACGAAGCTTGATCCATAGAACAAAAAACAATTTTTGTAATAAATTAATTTTTATGCCATATCCATTATATCCATGGTTGTATTTTAGTAAATAGACCTCTTCTTCTGTCACTATAATAATATATGTCCATTAGATATATATAGAATCAAAATTTTTGTGACACAAAAATAGTATGACATAATCAAAAATTTGTGGGGTAAAAATTTGTTGCTGAATATTCGTTACAAACATTCCTTTCCATAAGTTCAATTTTAAAATTCTATTAGTAAATAAAATGTAAAGTGTGTCGGCTGCCTAGAAAAGTCTGGTCCCTCTTTTAAATTTAAAGGTTCCTTTTTTCATTGGTTTCAATTCATATTCATTATCTAATCGCAAATATAAATGCTGCATATTAATATTATTCAATTTATATTGATTATAATATTATAATTTTACAGCTTTTAATATATAAAGGCCTGGTGTTAATTTATTATTATTTTGTAAAAATTTATTTATAATTTTATTTAAGTTTAATTTATTAATAATTTAATCTTATTCTTAAAGTTAATGATTAACAAACAAAACTTAACAGTAACATAACATTACATAATAATAATCAAATAATACTAAATGACTAAATTAGCAATAACAATTAATGAATTAATAAATTAAAGAAGACTTATTTTATTAGTAAATTAAATAATTCTTAATTAGAGTTATCATTATGACATAATGATTATGATTATAAATTAAAAAAGTTCTGTTAATCCTTTTTGAGTTTAGTGTTTTAATTGGAGATCTGACCAAGCCAAAAACATCAGTACAGAACAGATGGTACATTGAGTACGTACAGATACACAGTAAAATGGGAGATAGGTACTCCTATGGTATCTCTATGTTTACAAACAATCATAATGTACTTTTAATAAATTGACACCGCCTATTTTGAATTATCTAGCGCTTAATTATTTATTTATATCAAATTGAAAATAATTTAATACAAGTTAATTCTTAGGTAAGTTTTTTGGATCATTGCTTGTCAAATAGTTGAAAATAATGAACATTAAATAAAAAAATGTTGAAATATGAGTAAATTTCTGTTTTGATAATAATCAATGTATTAAATTTAATTCAAATTTAAACAGTCGACTTATGAACGTTAAATACTCACGGTTTTGACAAATAATTAAAATTCACACAAAAACAAGATGATCATGCTTTTGATTTTATATGAATTTATTTGACTTTATTAAAATTAAAGTATTTACATGATGTACAAAACTAAAAATGTGTTAGTTCCGTTGAACGCGAAGAATATGTCGTCTATGTACCTGTTGTAATTCATGACATTGACAAATTTGTTATTTAGTGTTGTGTCAAGGAAGTCTAGGTACAGGTTTGTTAGGGTGGGGGAGTAAATCTTTCCCATGGCGCACCCATTTATTTGCAGGTATTGTTGTTAGTTGAATGTGAAATCATTATTTTGTAGGGTCAGGGTGAAGGCCTCAATTGTGAGGACATTAAATTTATTGTTCGGTATATATTTTCGTAATGCTTCCTTTGTTATTTCTATTGAGCATGAGTTGTTCATGTTTGTATAGAGGCTTGAGACGTTTGCAGTCACCATAGGAGTACCTATTTGTTGATCGTTGGTGAACACCGCCACAAAAAGCCATCCAAAGAAACGAGATTTCGTAATTCTTTAGGGGACCCGCATTGGCACGTCATTTGACTTGCTAGAAGGCTATGTCCCATAGCCCATGTTACGGCCTCCTCCTTTTCAACAAAATTTTTCTTCATTTCACTCAAAGGTACGCCGGCAACGGATGGAAAAGCCATTTTAAAAATGCAAAGCCTCGTTGTTTGAACTGCGGAGCAAACCAAAAAAAAAACCAAAGACTGTTTTTATTATTTTTATTATAAAAACATTTTTTAAATCATGTTAATAAATATAAATAAAAATCATTAAAAATAAAATTCATATTTACGTTTTATAATTCTATAATTATTAATTAATAAATAGAGTATTCGTGAGGTTTTTTTTTATTATAGAAACAATTTTGAAATTGTAATAATAAATATAAAAACAATTTAAAAACTGTAATAATAAATATATATCATAAATTAAATAATTATAATTGAAAATTACAACTCCTAAGGATTTTTTTATCATAGAAAAATTTTAAATCTAATCAATAAATAATTAAGCGTTAGTTAATTTTAAATGGGCAGAGTCATTTTATTTTAACATACATTAGGTTTGTTTGTAAACATGGACGATACCATAGGAGTACCTATCTCCCGTTTTACCCAGATACACGATACAGATTGACTAGACTTGTGCCTTGTACAGAACCATACAATTTTAAATTGCGGTAACTGCAATGCATCTGTAGATTAAAAAGTCAGTGGCGTAGGGACAAGTTCAGCAGGTTCGTTGAACCAGGGCCCCCGTGACTCAAGAGTCCCCAAATAATAAACAAAATTTGTGCAAAATTTTGTATAAAATTAATATTGTATTTGATATTTTTAATTAATTTAATATCTCTGATAAAACGTTAATGTAAGCTTTGTTTTGTTATATGTATAACTTCTAAATTATGTTCGCTTCTATGGTTCATAATTTTGTAGTTTTTGGTTCTTATCTTTAAATTCGTTTCATTATTGTCATTGTCAATTAATTTTTTTCATTTTGCAATTGTTTTACAACAGATGTTAGTATGTTATTTTAACTAATTCATCTGTTTTTTAGTGGAATTTCAGATCTTATTTTGCAAAAATAATGATTAAATTTTTGTTTGACAAGAGTTATTGCAATTTTTTGTATTTCATATTTTGCTTCTGTTTAGTTCAGAATTTAACTTCAGACTGTTAGTAGAAGTTGAATATGAAAAGAATTTATGCTTCTGTTCACGCAAAACGAGTGAGTAAAAACGTTTTTTCAAAAACTAATATCATACAAAATTGATACAAAAATTGAATAACAATCAGCAGAAATAAAGCAACAGTCAATAGAAATAAAACAAACGAGAGATCATAAGTTGCCAAATTCGAACAACAGTCGGCTGCGGTTGATGCCAAAATAATACAACATTGGAGAGAACTCAGGGAACAATTGGACGTCAAAGCTGAACAACAATCGGCCGTAATCAATGCAAAAATAGAAAATCAGATGATGAGAATGGAAGACATCACATCAAAAATTGAACAGAAATTTGATCAAAAGGTTATTGGGTTCGAACAGAAGTTATCTTGCGAAGTGGATAAACTTAAACAAGAACTGGAAGAAACTAAGAAAATAAACTCCACACCTGTAAGCCACCGGACCACAAAGACATTGAAAGTGTCAGCATTTGACGGAGAAACTTCTTGGAACATAAATAAAGCCCAGTTTGAAACAGCAGCAATGAATTTTGGCTGGAATATAAGAAAGAGGACAACGGCTCTTGTAGTAGCGTTACGAGGATTAGAGGCTGAAGATCTCCAAACGATTCCAGTCGAAAAATATTTCAACTATGATGTCCTGGTAAATGCGTTGATTTTACGTTACGGTGAAGAGCACATGAGGCAAATATATCGGTCCCAGTTAAGAAACTGGACACAGCGAAATGTAGAGTCAATACAGCAGCTGTCACAGGATATTGAACTGTTGACTCAGCTGTCATACCCCCACGTAAGACCCACAACACAGAGAACAAACTGCATTGGAAACGTTTGCAAAGGCTGTTCGAGATTCAGATCTTTGACAAACCTTTATACTAGCAGACTATTTTGAATTTTAATAAACTAAACGTTCACCAAAAAACTTTAGTGAGAAAAATTGAAAAAACTATTATCAATTTATTAAGCGCATTATAAAATTTCTCGAAAGCGCTCTCTATTATAAATGAAATCAGTGAAGGTCAATAAAGTACAAATCAATAAAGTATTTCTATGTAAAAATAAATATGTTTTTAAGTTTCTCTTAAAATCATCAAGCTTTAGTCCAGGCATTCTGAGCGATTACGGAAGACTGTTCCAGGCAATTGGTCTTGACACGGCAATATTTCTAGTTGCAGTTTGTAGTTGAGTTGTTGTCACTGCCAGTAGGTTGGCATAGTCTGATCTCAATTTTACATCTGTTGAAGAAGCTGGTTTTTTTAAGATTTTATTTGCTAGATATACTGGTAACAACCCGTTCAAAGCCTTATACATAGTCACACAAATCTTATAGTTGATTCTTTTTTTCACTGTTAGCCAATGTATGTCTCTTAAAATGAGTGTCACATGGTCATACTTTCTACGTCCAACAGTTATTTTTGCAACTCTATTCTGTATCGATTGAAGAAAAGCAATAGATCTCTCTGGTAATCCATTGAACAAGCTATTACAGTAGTCTAACCGTGAATAAACAAACGCATGAATTAGTGTTTGCATGGTTGTTTGATGTAAATATTTTCGAACGCGGTATAACTGGCAAAGCTGATAAGAACATGATTTGGATATGGTTTTTATATGATCTTTAAAAGATAATCTCGAGTCAAAAATACACCCTAAGTTTGTTGCATTTTCACAGAATTGTATTTCATTATTATCAATTTTGACTGAATTAATGTTAATTTTAGAAAGCTGTTGCCATGTACCGACAGGTAAAAATTGAGTTTTATCTTGATTCAATTTGAGACAATTTCTTGACATCCATGTACCTATTTTAGTCAAGCATTCAATGAGATTTTCAACTTTACTTTCAAACAGTTCTGGTTCACTGCTAACTATTATTTGGATATCATCAGCGTACGCATGATATGAAAATCCAAAGGATTTTATTACTTCATATACTTCAGCAGTGTACAGTACAAACAGAATAGGTCTCAGGACTGAGCCTTGTGGTACACCAGATGACATTGCTTCAATACCAGATAATTTGTTCCCGAAAAAAACCTGCTGAGTTCTGCCAAACAAGTACGAATTGAACCAATTAGCTACAACTCCAATAACTCCGTAATCATATTGTAGGCGATTCATCAGTATTTGATGGTCTACGCAATCAAAGGCAGCACTCATGTCCAAGAATGTAAGCAACGAAACATATTGTTTATCAATTGCATTAAACAACTCAGACATAACATACAGCAGTGCAGTTTCAGTTGAGTGATAACGTTTATATCCAGATTGAAATACTGGTATTAAACTATTTTTGTGTAGATGACTCAGTAGCTGACTGGCAACAACTCGTTCAATAACTTTAGAAACGAAGCAAATGTTTGATATGGGTCTGTAACTTTTCATTTCATTTCTATCATCTTTCATTTTCTTCAAGACAGGTGTAATAACTGCGTGCTTACATTTATTCGGAAATACTCCCTCTTGCAAACATAAGTTAACGAGGCTTGCGAGAAAAACAATAAAATTATCTATATGTTTTTTAAGCACATGAGTCGGAAAAACATCTAACATACAGGTTTTAGCCGGTAGATCAAACACAATTTTCTTTATGTCTAGTTCCTATATATATATATATATATATATATATATATATATATATATATATATATATATATATATATTAGGGTGTCCCAAAAATATGAAGTTTTAAAATATTGATGTCTCATTATATTATATTCATTAAATATGTCTGTATGGTAACAGTAATTTACCTGCCAAATTTTAGCCCATTTGGACAATGTTTAGAGGTTGTCGAAAGTTTCCGATTTTGGTGTTTGATCGTTCGCTACCAACTTTTGATACAGCGTTATATGATATGATTATAAATGTTTTATGATTTGTTTATACAAATTAAACAAAATATATAATTGTGAAAAAATATATAAATCTGCAATGCCTTTTATTTTTAATTTCAAAAATTAAGTCAAAAATGAATGAAAAACAAGATTTCATTGAATTTCAGTTCGCTTGAATATTAATTAATGCAAATAATTCAAATTTTAGCTAACAGTTCACGATTATATTCTGCAAAGTTTTTCTTATGCTGTTCAACTACTTGAAGCAAAAATTGTTTCTGCTCTGCGTCTTTGGTGATTGTTTCATTGAAATGTTGTACCAACGCTACTCCCCATTCTGCAGAGTCATTGATGCAAACCAGATTCCTTACAAACACTGCTGCAACTTGGAAAAAGAATATCTGACCAGTTTTCAACAGGTACATCAAGAAAATTGGCATCAATATTGGATGTTTTTAAAAATGTTTTTGACGTACGCAAATTGTCAAAACTTTGTGGTAGTGTTTTCATCAGATGTGGGCCTCGATCTGCTTGTATTATGCGGACAAGATCAGTTTTTTCTTTGTCAGACAGGAGAGATGAAAAAAGAGCAAGAGTTGCCAATTCTGGACTCATGTACCAAGAATGACGCAGCATCATTTTTAATCCAGTTGAACCAAGAATTGCATCGTCGTAGTCATGCAAACGCTATCATTTGCAGGTGCATCAGCAGTGGGCCTGCATGAAAACCATGACTGAAGATAAACACAAATGATAAACCGATTCAAACGTTGAATACCTTGTAATTCTCGAGCTGTTAAGTTAAAAATGGTTTTATTTACGGTGAATAATAGTTTAATTTTTAATGCGTAAATGGCTTTTGCCATCCATCGTGCCCTGTGCAGTGCACCAGGCTTGCGAATGGCTACATCAACCTGCAGCCCAACTATTTGTGCAGCAAGAAGTAGAAACTCTAAATAGTCATCTCGTGAATGTCTGACCTCAAGTTGACATTTGATGAATGCTTTAATTGCATCTGAAACAATTATCAAAGGGGTTGATCTGGCTTCTGGTGTGTGATTCATTTCTGTCCATTTTTCACGAAACCTTTTGAAAAATAAAATTTCTGGTCCAGTGAATGGTCCAAGACAAACATTGAATACATCGGCAAGCAACACTTCAAACATATGATGACGGCAAGCCATCCATAATAAATTACGTCCCATGGCTTTTTCTAGAAGAGTGCAAACTCCTTTGAGTTTTCCAGTATTGGAAGCTGTCGTGTCAAAGCAATAACCATTGATTCACACTTTCAAGATTTTATATGTTCATGAACTGCATCAGCAGCTGCTCGTCCTAATCCAGATGCTAACATTGGAACTCCAAGAAGTTTTGTAGTGCCATCAACAAGTGATGAGAGCAGGACAGGTAACCAATCTACGTTGACCAACCCAGTAACATAGCGAGTTGACTGGTTAAAAATATACATTTTTTGTGTTCTCTAATAAAGAGAATTTTCTTATGATCTCTCGTTTGTTTTATTTCTATTGACTGTTGCTTTATTTCTGCTGATTGTTATTCAATTTTTGTATCAATTTTGTATGATATTAGTTTTTGAAAAAACGTTTTTACTCACTCGTTTTGCGTGAACAGAAGCATAAATTCTTTTCATATTCAACTTTCTGTCTTTTTTCGTACGCTTTGCTCGTTTTGCTATACGATACAGAGATTTCATTTGTTTACCTTTGTTTTTAGTAAGCCACTCCTGCACTGATCTGTCCGAGCCAGTGCGACTTGACGTCTTGCATAGTTGTTCTGCACGAAAAATTGTATGGTCATCAACAGACTTTGATTTTTGCCATTGCTTGTATGCAGTTTTCTTTTCAGCTATTGCATTTTGTACACTGTCATTCCACCACCAAGTGTCCCGTTCATGCTGACGTTTTGTAGCAGTTTTCTCACAAACTGTAGTTGCAGCGTTCATTAAAATGGTTTTGTATGTACTCCAATCTGTACTGGCTTGTGATTGGTGGTCTAACTGTGTTGCGACAATCTGTTGAAATTTTTCTCGATGAATATTGCTTTCCAGCTTCCACGTTTTGATTCTCCGAGGCATTTGTTTAGACTTATATTTTGACAGTTCGACAACCAGGTCTGCCACAAGGAGTCACATGATTCGCCAGGTATAACTTTGACATTTTTTAAATAGTGTTGTTGGTTGACAGCGAAAAAATCAATTTGCGTGGCTGATGGTCCACTTTTGTATGTTATGAGATGTTCCAACCTCATTCTAAAATATGTGTTAAGTAAACAAAACCCGTAACTTTCAGCAAACTTAAGGATGCGGTTGCCATCTTCATTCCGTTCTCCATAGCCAAAACCGCCATGTACGTTGTCAAAACCATCTGTTTTCTCTCCAACGTGGCCATTGAGATCGCCTCCAATCAGGATTGTTTTAGATTTTGGTATTGTTGAGATGGTGTCAGAGAACACAGCACAGAAGTCATTTTTCTTCTCTTCTGATTCGCCTGTCTGTGGTGCATATGCAGAAAAAATAATCATTGTTTGCTTTTCTATGCGAAGCTTGATCCACATGAGACGTGAATAAGTCTTTTTAATATCTAGTACTTCTTGGGCTAGCGGTTTTCTGACAAATTCCAACACCATTTTTACCCGTCTTTTGACCATTTCAGAATAGTTTATCTTCTTTTTTGTCTGAGTTGACATGACAAACACCATTTGATTTCCATCGGGTTTCCTGAAGGCAGCAGATGTCAATCCTTCTACGCTCGAGCATTTCTGCGATTTCCATGCTGCGGCCAGTCAAACCTACCAAATTAATTGCTTATTTGCTGGAACTGGCTTGGTTTAATAACTGATATATTGATAACCCAGTTTTCTATTTAATTCAAAAATTGTTAAGAGTTGAGATAAGTGTACTATGATCGAGAAAATTTTTTGAAACAAGTACATGTAATTTATTTCATTCATCACAATACGTTATTGTACATATGAATGATCCTTATCAACAAACTTTTGTGAAGTAGAGTCAAACCTGTAAAACATTGGTATGGCGTTACAAGTTTAAAAAATTTAAAAATTCAGTTCACTTTTTGCCTCATCTAATTTTTTTACGATTCGTAAAAATTAATTAGAAAGCTACATATAAATAATTGTTATCTAAAAGCTTAGCATAAACAAAATAATTAAATAAAATTTTAAAAATAATTTTACGTAATTTTATGAATCTTTCATGTTAACTTTAAATCTTCTGTAAAAGATTGGTTAAGACTAAGTTAAATATAAAAAATAAAAGAATGTGCAAACCTACCAAATTAATTGCATTTTTGCTGGAACTGCCTTGGTTTAATAACTGATTTATTGATAACCCAGTTTTCTAATTAATTCAAAAATTGTTAAGAGTTGAGATAAGTGTACTATGATCGATAAAATTTAAAACCTACCAAATTAATAGCATTTTTGCTGGATCTGGCTTGGTTTAATAACTGATTTATTGATTACTCAGTTTTCTAATTAATTCAAAAATTGTTAAGAGTTGAGATAATTTTTTGAAACAAGTATATGTAATTTATTACATTCATCACAATACGTCATTGTACATATGAATAATCCTTATCAACAAACTTTTGTGGAAGTAGAGTCAAATCTGTAAAACATTGGTATTTCGTTACAAGTTTTATGTAAAAGCAATTTTATTACAATATTGCAAAATATTTTATTTCTTACAAAATATTTTATCGTAATTTTGTATTACTTATTAAAATTTTTAACCAGTTTTTGTGAGATTGATAAGGTTTTTACATTGAGAATTTTATTTCACTTAAATTTACTTTGATCTTGATTTTAAATGATGTATTTATTTAACTCTGATTCTTGTATAAAATTTAATTTTCAATGCTTTATAATTCCAGAATTCCGCACAAGGTGCATTTTCCATAATCTTGAAAGTGTAAAACTGACTCTAGATTTATTAATTGAAATCTTATACTTTATTTCTAATTTTAAGTCATATTTCTTCGTTAAAGAGCTTGCAAATAGATGAAGCGTTGATCTACTCTTTCCATCGTTAGAAATAAATGTAAAAATTATTCATCTAAAAACGAGACAACGTCGGAATTTGTTATATAGAATGGAAACAAGAAAAGAAATAAAAGATAACTAATGAATGTTTACAACAAAAAATCTCTAAATATTAAAATTAAATAACATTGTATAGATGGGCATTTAATTGAAAAGTTAATTATTATTATCGTCTGATTAAATATAATTTGAATATATATCAGAAAATAAATATCTCGTGTTAAACAAACCTAGTAGACACGCCAAATAACAGATTTATATTTAGTTTCTTTATTAATAAATGTAAAATTCATGGTCCGTAATGAATTATCCGGGTTTAGACTTTTTATTTTTCAATCCTATTTTTCAAAATTTCGTATCATTTCCAAATCTTGTGAACAAACCATTGAACAAATTTGTAATTTTAGATAATTATAAAACATTCAAATTTATAAAATCATTTAATAACCTTGGTAATCTAATCAGTAACGAAAAGTTAGCTGGTACTATGCAAAACCGTCTTAGTGATGGTAGTGAGGAGATTAATTGCCCTCTTGATGGTGAAACATTGCCTGTGAAAAGTTTCAACAATAGTATTGAAAAAATGGAAAACATTTTTAACCATCATTCAGAAAGTTTCTTATTTGAAATTGAAGAGTTGAAAAAAAAAATTGTTTCTAAATCTGATGAAAAATTAAAAAATAATCAATATGGTAAAAATGCAGCTGTTGAATTATTTAACTATAGTGCTGATTTCATTGAGTTACAGAATTATTTCGATGAAAATTTTCTCATCGAAAAGATAAATCAGTTTTGGACAAATATTTGTCTTAATGATAAAGGAAATATTTCAGAAGTCATTTTAATTAACGATTTTTACTTCGGATTACTTGCTTATGAAAAATATGATATTACTGTTCCAATGAACACTATAGAAGCGTTTCATTTGTTAAATGAGATAATCTCCGAATTCAAAGTCCTGAAAAGCTGTCAAAAGCATAATATATATAAAAGAGATAACTTTCATGGTAATAACAAATGTGATGATAACCTTCAAAGTAATAACACATGTAATGATAACCTTCAAAGTAATAACACATGTAATGATAACTTTTTTAGTGATTATGATGGTCTCAATGTTGGATGTAGTGATATACATGAAATTTTAGGTTCGCCAAAAATACTATCACGCAGAACTAGACATAAGGCTCATGGAGATTATCCTTATGATCCTTACGACAGTTCCATGGATTTGGAAGAAGATAATATATATCATAGAGATTACGACTTTATGATGAAACCGCCAATCTACTTGTTAGGTAAATATTTTTAATATGTTTAACATTTGTTTATTTGTATATATTTATATATTTATTTAGATAAGAACATATAAATTTACGTAAAAAAAGAATTTCCACCATGATCAGATTAAAAGAAGGAGGAAGCCATCATGATAGAATTTTTTAATATACAAATTATGATGAATCAACAACTTTAATGTTTTTCTCAATAGTTTTTATCGCATTTTTACCGATAATACTTTCATGAACATAATTGTACTGCTCCTTTCGTTAATTTACCGAATTAGCTCTTTGTTGAAGTAATTTTGTTTGTTTGCAATTAATTTTAAGAGTTGACGGAAAGAATTGCTTTTTTATTCTGAACATAATTAGGAGACTCCGCTCTTTAGTTATCTAAATCTGGCTCTAAACGGCACAAGGTATAGTTACAAGTTGTGGATAGTTTAATGATATCTTCAGACATGCCTGACCCAAGCTCGGAAAAAGATTGTGAACCCTACTTTATACTTTTATAGTTTTATAGTCCTAGAAATAGATACCACGATAAATTGCGATTATTCGTAAAATTCGTAATTTTCTCACTGAAGATATTGCTTCTGCACTGGTTCGATGTCTCGTACTATCACGTTTAGATTATTGTAATTCTTTTCTCTACGGTCTTCCAACTTTACTCTACGGTCTTTACTCTTCCAACCTTTAAACTTTACTTTAAAGAGCTCAAAATAGAGTTGCAAAAATTGTTTTAAATATCAGTAATTTATCTTCCAGCACAGATTCACTCATTCAACTACATTGGTTACCAGTACGTCAACGCATTATATTTAAACTCGCCGTCCTCACGTACAAGTTACTTAATACATCTCAACCATCATATCTTCACCAACTTATATCGCGTCGTTCATCAACTTGTCAACTTCGTTTGTCTTCATATAACGTTAAAAATCATTGTTTATCTAAGCTATGCATAGGACGCGATATAAATTAATAATAATAATAATCTGTGGCGCCTAATGGAAAATTTCATTTTTGATATAATCATCCGATGGTCAATCCAGCAGTCGGCAACGCACATTTTTTTGTAGTTTCAACAACATGTCTATTCAGTTGTCTAATAATGATGAAATCGATTTTATGCCAGTGCTTTGATCTTAGATTCATCCAAGTTGTTTTGTTTCTGTGCGGTAACTGGAAAAATTTATTTGATATAGCCAACTATGTCGAGGCATTTTTATCGTAGACTTAGTAAATTTTTTTTACAGCAGACGATGTAAAAAATGAATCAGGTACCGCGGACGTAGTAAATTTTTTTAATATATGCCGTGGTATTTACCTTCGACGAAGTAAAAAAGATATGCTGCAGTATTTTTTGCGGACGTAGTAATTTTTCGAAAAATACGCTGCGGAATTCACAGAAACAGAACACAATTTTTATTTTTTCATTTTTTATTCTTTTTAAAGTAGCTCTGCCAAACACAACTGTTACATGTTATTCTATATCTATACTTATAATTAAGCCATAATATCGTGCCACAAAGAGTGACTATCCATACCTCATGACGCAATACACATTATTTATGCACGCGCAAGCACCGCATCATACTGGTATGGTGGTCTTGGAGTTTCGGACAGACAGTATTCGAACCATGCCATCGCATTGCACTTCTACCGATTCTATTGAAATTAATCGTGGTAGAATTTGCAAAAATTGTTAGAAACAAGAAACATTTCTACCATGCAAGATACTTCTCCGTACACATGTACCGTTCCTTCAGTGGCAGTAGGTACTTGCTAGATCTTTCCTACCACCCAAAGGTCATCTCGGTCACGGTCCAGCCTCGAAACATGAATAATACTGCTGGAGGCGTTTGCTTTCCCAGTTTACTTGGGCCCCGCAAAGTTGGTTTTTACTCTTTTCCCGACGGGTTATGCAGACGTTCTAAACGTGGGGTTAGCATCTCCTCAAAAGTCGGTTTTTCCCCGTATCGTTCTCCATAGGCGTTACTTCTACAATATTTCCTGATATGCCCTTTTTCCACTGGTGGTTCGTCAGATGTTGGTTTATCTACCGGTGGTGTTTGATCAATCACTTATGATCACTGAATTACTTTTTCAGTTGCGTTGCCCTGATAATGATGCTGCTGAAAGGGTTAGTTACTACCGTTTATCTAGGCACGCCAGGTCAAACTCTCCAACATATTGTCGATGTTGTTAGCTTCACTATGTAAAAATCTGGACAGCATAGTTTCATCATCTCAGGATCGGTTTTACAATGCTTACATGTCAACTTTATCTGAAAAAAAACAGAATGTTTGGCTCAGTTTAAAAAATTAATTACGGTAGAAAAAAGAAATCTGCTTTTAGATTTAAAAAAAGACGAGCTAACAGGATATGCGAAAGAGTTTTCGGACGAACATATTCTGGGTCAGATTAGGAATGCTAGAAAAATCAGTTGTTAAAGTTTTAACAACTTTAAAAAAAGTTTTTTCAGTTGTTAAATGCTCTGTGTCCCTTTATAACTGTATAAGTTTAGATCGTTTTGGCACAAAAATATCACAAAGAGTAGATCAAACCCAAAACAAACTTTGGTGTTCAATCAACAATCTTCTCGGGGAACAAAAACAAAAGTTGTATGCATCGTTAACAGTTTGTGATTTTATGCGATTTTTTATCGACAAGGTTGCAACTATCAGTGAAGCAACATCTCACGGGGATGCTGAGTAGGTAGTAAATCACTGCAACTTTTTTGAATTTGGTGAATTTTCAATAGACAAATTCAAGGCAGCGTTTTTGAAATCTAAGCCAACAACATGTGGTTTAGACTTACTTCCCCAAAAGTTGTTAAGGTTTTTGAATTATTTACTGCCGTTTCTTGTCTCTGGACATACAAAGCTGTTTCTTCAAAAACTAAAATTGGTAAAAATTTAAAAAAAATAAAATTTCTTCATTGCTAAAAAGAACGGCCTGGATAAAAAACGATTTAAAAAATTATAGAGCGGTTTCAAACCTCAATTTTCATTCAAAGATTTTTGAAAGACTGGTGCTTGATTGTCTGTTTGGTGAGTTGTCTGCCCACCGGTTGCTACCCAAGTTTCAATCAGCTTACAGAACAAGATCATCTACAGAAACAGCTTTTGAAAGTGTTTGGTGACATTATCAATCAGGTGGATAATGTTAGTGCGTTGTTATTGTCCAATTCCATGTTTGATGTATATTTCGGGTTTGCCTGGTTTAGTAAAAGATCATGGTATTGGGGTTCATATGTATGCTGATGATCTTCAGATTTATTCTGGTAAATTACCAAAAGATGCTGGAGTAATTTCATAATTTCAGAAGGGTTGAAAAAGACATAAATGATTGGTTGAATCGGAATCGTTTGAAGTTAAATCCTGACAAAACAGTTAATTTTGTTAAGATCTAAAAAGAATCTGGCCAAAATCGATAGTACAACATTTGATTTTTTGTAACCGGTTGCATGCACCTAAGACGGTCAAAAACTCTTCGACAGTTTATTGACTATGTTACCACATGTAGTGAAACTTGGTACAACTTGTTTTCTACAGCTACATAAATTATATCAGACAAAAAGTGTCTCCCAGCTAATATCTTTATAAGTTTTGTGGTATCATTCGTATTGTCAAAGTTAGATTACTGTAACTCGTTGATGTTTGGTGCTGGGATTGGTGTGGTTAAAATAATTCAACGCATTTAGAACGCTGCTGCAAGACTTGGGCTTCGTAAAGTGATCACATAACTTGGTGGTTGGAAAATCTTCATTGGTTGGTGGTTTGTGAAGGAATGTTTACAAGATGGCGGTTATTGCTCACAGTTGCAATCAGGGTGGTAGACTGAAAGGTTTGAAAAAGAAAATCGGTAAAAAATCTGAGATGGACATGGGACATCGATCGATATTCTGTGAATTGATGGTAGCATTTAATTCATAACCACTGAAGAATATTTATGAGAGAGTTATAATAATAATAATTTTTACGACCTTGTCTGAAAAAGGACTGTAGATAGTTTCACCAGCGACAGACTTCAAGAAACCAAAAACAGCATCTCATTCTATCGCGTTGCTTTCAGCCTCAGGCAAATTAAATAAAACGACGTTATTTTCTCGTTCTTTTTTTTTATTAGCTGTATATAGCGTTTTTTGTTTGTTTTTAACCTCATTGGTTATCACGTCTAAGTTCTTTTTGACTACACCAGACCACGTTGTGTTCAGTACACACTTTAAACTTTTAATTGATTTATCGAACAAAGTGTCGATGTTAGACATTGTGCAAACTCAAAAGAAGTGCATTCTTTCATCAAGAGATACTTTAAATTGATTCAATTCACGCTTAATCACGTCATTGTCTTCTTTGATAGATTTTAACAGAATCAAACAATCGTCCTGTTTCTGAGTTAATTTATTAACGGTGCTGCGAGTTTCTGAAAACTTTAATATATATATGTGTGTGTGTTGGTAATAGACCATTATTTTTACAATATTCTATAAATTCTACCAAATGTTGGCGTTAATATATTTGTAAAAGTTTAAAGTTTAGTGAGAAAAATTGAAAAAACGAACTACAAACATATTAATGCCAAACATTCGGTAGAATTTATAGAATATTGTAAAAATATATATGTCTATATATATATATATATATTATGTAGCTATATGATCCATTATATACAATTATATAGTATATACACGTGCACAAGTTCTTTTACACAAAGATCAGCTCATAATTTATGCATAACCCATGTTATTGCATAAAGAAAATTGTCCAGCTCACCTCTCAATTAGTGATGTTGTCATATATGCTTAGCCTTTAACTTATTGACATATTGGCACGTTGACAGGAAGAAGTTTGGAAGTGGTGGAGGAGCTGCAGAGGAGAATGGTTGACGTGGCTGCATTACAGGAGATCAGATGGAAGGGTGAGGGTACAAGGTTTGTGGGGGCTAAAGGTGGAAGATATAAGTTGTGGTGGAAGGGGGATGATGGTACGGGAGGAGTTGGTGTGATGGTAAGAGAAGAGTTGGTGGAGAAGGTGTTGGAAGTGAGGCGGAGAAGCAATGGTGTAATTGTGGTGGTGATGGTGTTTGGAAAAGTAATAGTGAGGGTGAAATCAGGATATGCTCCGCAACAAAGTAGGAAGGAAGAGGAGAAAAATAGGTTTTATGATGATGTTTCTGACGAGATTGGGCAAGCGGGGTTGGATGAGTTTGTGGTGTTATTGGGTGATTTGAATGGTCATGTGGGGGCGGATGCAGACGGATAGGAAGGTGTACATGGGGGATGGGGATATGGTATACGGAATGAGAAAGGGCGTAGAGTGTTGGAGTTGGCGGATGCATATAGCATGATGGTGGGGAATACCTGGTTTACAAGGGAACCAGGGCGATTGATTACATATAGGTCAGGGGGGCATAGCTCGATGATAGACTATATATTGTTAAGGGCCAAACATAGGAAGTATGTGAAGAATGTGAAGGCGATACCTGGTATGCTGCAGCATAGTATGGTTGTGATGAATGTGACATCAAAAGAAATGGGGAGGAGGAAGAAGGATAAGTTTGTAGCAAAGAGAAAGACATGGAAGTTACAGGATGCAGAGGTGAGGAAGGCATTTGAAGTGAAGGTGGCTGAAAATTGGGAGAGTGGTAAGGATGGAGATGGTTGGGAGAGATACAGGGACTGTGCGTTGGCTACGGCAGATAAAGTATGTGGATGGACGAAAGGAAAGTGTAGGCATGGTGAGACGTGGTGGTGGGATGAAGATATAAGAAGGGTTTTGGAGGTCAAGAAGGAGAGGTTTAGGGTATGGAGAAGGGACATGACGGAAGAAGCGGAGTTTGAGTATAGGAAGGTTAAGAAGGTTGCAAAACAGGCAGTGGCAACTGCAATGACTAAAGCATCAGATAGGTTAATGAAGGAAATGGAATTTGATGTGAGTTCGAGGAAAATGTTCAAAGTAGCAAAGCAGTCAATGAGGGATAGGAAAGATGTTATAGGGAATGGATGTGTTTGGGATGGATCTGGCAAGTTGTGCATAGATGAGGAAGAAAAAGCTCAGGTGTGGAAAGTTCATATGGAAAGGTTGATGGATGAAGAGAATGAGTGGAATGGAGATGTGGAATCCGCGGTCACACACGGACCTATAGAGAAGGGGACGATGGAGGAAGTAGAGAAAGCCGTTAGAGACATGAAACTAGGTAAGGCGACAGGGGTTTCGGAATTGGCGGCAGAACATATAAAAGCGAGTGGGGTGATAGGAATTGAAGTTATGATGAGAATTGCTAACAGTATGTTTGATGATGAAGGTATACCTGAGGATTGGCGACACAGTGTGTTGGTGCTGTTGTATAAGGGCAAAGGAGATGTGAAAGATTGTGGGTCATATAGGGGTGTGAAATTGCTAGAGCACGGAATGAAGGTAGTGGAGAGGGTGCTTGAGAGGAGGTTGAGAAATATGGTGACAGTTAATGAAATGCAGTGTGGGTTTATGCCTGGTAAGAGAACGGTGGATGCGTTGTTCATGGTGAGAATGTTGCAGGAGAATTATAGAAAGAAAAAACGAAGATTGTACATGTGTTTTGTGGATCTAGAAAAGGCTTTTGATCGAGTACCGAGGAAGGTCATTGAATGGGCGTTGAGGAAGAAAGGAGTGAATGAGAGACTTGTTAAAGCTGTGATGTAGCTTTATGAAGGGGCAAAGACAAAGGTGAGGGTTGGAAGGGGGATGTCGGACGCTTTTAGTGTTAAGGTAGGAGTGCATCAAGGATCAGTGTTATCACCGTTTCTGTTTGCAATTGTGATGGATGTTGTGTGTGGAAACATAATGGAGGGGTTGTTATTTGAGATTTTGTATGCAGATGATTTAGTCTTGATGGCTGATAGCATGGAAGAATTGCAGTTAAAATTTGACAGATGGAAAAGTGTTATTGAAAAGAAAGGGTTAAAAGTTAATATTGGTAAGACGAAGGTAATGGTGAGTGGGGAAGGTGGGGAGCGAGTGATAAGTAAAATAGACCCCTGTGGGTTATGTGACAGGAGAGTGATGGCTAACTCGGTATTGTGTATAGGATTTCAGAAATGGGTGCATAAGAGATGTAGTGGTGTGAGGGGGGCACTGAAAAAGGTGGAAGGCACGTTCAAATATAAGAAATGTGTTCATGGTGTGATTAATAGGACGGACGCAAGGACGGGGTTGAGTGGTGGTATTGAAAGAGTGGAAAGCTTTGTTTACTTAGGGGATAAGCTGAACGCGGGTGGAGGATGTTTGAGCGCAATTACGGCTAGAGTTCGTGTAGGATGGATGAAATTTAGGGAACTGGGTGGGGTATTGTGTGGAAAGAAATGGTCAGTGAAGATGAAAGGGAGGGTATATAAAGCATGTGTGAGAGCAGCGTTGGTATATGGTGGTGAAACTTGGGTGTTGAGGGGAGAGGAGGAAAGTGTACTGCAGAGGGCTGAAAGAGTTATGGTGGGGATGATGTGTGGGGTTTGTGAAGGATAGGAGGAGTAGTACAGAGCTGATGTCAATGATGAGACTGAATGAGGACATTTTGACATTGATAAGTAGATCGAGATTGCGATGGTATGGACATGTGTTGAGAAGGGATGAAAGGGTCGGGATTAGGCGAGCGTTGGAGTTCGAGGTTGAAGGTGTGGTAGGGAAGGGGTCGTCCGCGATTGGGATGGAGAAGGACAGGGTGAAAGCGGGGTTGCGTGATACTGAGGCGATTGACAGATGTGAATGGCGTCGAGGGGTATTTCGGTTTCATCATAGGTAGCCAAACGGCAACCCCCGATCTCGGGGAAAATGTCGTCTAAACGTGTGTTGTTGTTGTTGTTGTTGAAAATGAACTTAGATTGAAATTAGGTGTCAGATTTCTTTATTGGCTGGTGTCCATCTTCGTTGGTTTTATTTTCTTCATCGATAGCATCATATTCTTCTTTGTCATTAATTACAATGCTAATTTTTATTACTTCTTTGTTTTCATTGTTGATTAAGCGCCGGGTCGGGAGTGAGGTTGTCATTTTTTGTTGTATATTTATTTTTGGTTTATTGACATTAATTAGGACTGCTTCTGCAATTTTAAGATGCGTGTAGTTGGTGTTCTGGTATATTACCTTTATGTTTGATGTTGCTGTCGAGGATTTCGCGGCTTATAGTGATTGAGTTTGTTGAGTCCAAATGAGATTTGATAGCACCACTCTGTTTATGCATCGTAAGCCTTCAAGTCAGTGAGGTAGTAGTAATCCCGATATATGAGTCATGTTGACGTGCATGCCGTCAAAGGGGCAATTAAATTCATATATTACGTGATTACGCTTTAACGCAGAGTAGTCTAGGACTACAATTATTTTTCAGTATTAGGTAAAACGTTTTTTTATTGTTGTAATAAATTCGGAGTTTAACTTCACTAATTAGGTGGTTGGTGTGACATTTTTATTGAGGATATGTTTAAGAATAGCTTCATCTACTTTGTACACAGTTGACATGTATACAAATAATCTTAATAATCTTTTCAATAGAATATGTCTTATATTCATTGTTTACAAGCAGGTTGTACTATATTATTATATTTATGTAATATTTAAACACACACATGATTTGTAGGATTGCCTTCACATTTAGAGGAAAGTATATTCTCTATAAAGCATGTCGTCAGTGTGGCTCCTCCTTACAAATTTAGAGTTTACGGAAGATTATTGACTTTCTATCCTAAAACAATTTCACCTGCACCAATTTCTTTTCAACTTTGTTGTCAACGCTGTACCTATACGTAAGCATTTTTTTTAATTAAAGAATTAATTTTTAGCATGTTTTTTATTCATTATAAAGGGAGAAGTTGAAATGTATTCATAAACATAATCCTACCAAATGGTTTGTTCTGATTTCTTTATATAATTTTTTTTCTATATATGAATTGAATTTTCTTGCTGAACAAATTATTCATTTATTGTTTTTTTAATGGCGAAAAATTTTATATGTGCTAACCTTTGTGTTGGGATTTTTTAAGCTATTTGTTTGAATTTAAAAATGATTTTTAAATGAAAAGAAAGTCAACTTGTTTGTTGTAAAAATGACGATATCAAAACCAAATTGTGTTGATTCAGACCATAGACACCTTAAATTAAAGACTTTAGCGCTAGTGCTCAGTATTTTAAACTTGGGTTTATAACTAAACTTGGCTGTACTTTAAAACAACTGAAATTTAAACTTTAATGTCACAATCTATCTGTTCTGTAATAAACAGTACAAGATAAAAGAGAACAGGATAAAATAGAACATGGTAAAACAGAACAGGATAAATAAAAAAAAATTGTTATATAACTTCTTTTTCGATTAGCATTACTAATAAATATATGAAAGTGTTAAAAAATGTAAAAATAAAGGTTCAGTTTCATCCTTGTTCTGTTTTATCGTTGGAAGATGTTGAATCCGTTGTAAAAAAAATACATTGGATGCATTAAATCTAGTGTGCGACAATTGTCTAATGAATCAATCACTGTACATCAAATCTTGGTTGTCCAGACCAGTGAATCTTCCAGGCCACGTCATTAAAGTATTTCTTTATATTACTCTGTGTCCATATATTCAAAAATCATTAAAATAACTGGATTACTGAACAAAACAAGATCTACATTTTACCGAAGATGTGAAAGCTCTGTACAAAGAAGTCAGAATTTACAAAATTTACGCATCAGCACATTCCAAAATCAATGTTAATGTGCCAAGTTTTTTATGAAAAAACAGTAGCAGTGTTACTTACATATAAAAAAATCTGCATGTATAAGAAGGCATACGTTTCATAAATCTGTTGAGATGGTAGCTTCACTTCATCTGTTGTGTGGTCATGGGAAAACTTCCTCGTTTACACAATGTGCATTTTGCAACTAAACTCTTGAAAATGTGGACATTAAATGTGTTGCTGATATCAGTATTGACGACACAGAATTATTTTGGCAAATGTATGTCACATTGAAACGCATTCATCGTCATAGCTGCCTATCTGTCACAAAAATTTCCCTTTGTTGAAAATGATGCGACTGATGCAGCAGTGTCATCTGAGTTAATAAAGGAATAGACCTTGGTGTTCTCACACATCCTACATTGTCAACTGCTCTCTTTTTTCGTATCGCTGTTGTTCATCCTATGTCAGTCCTGCCAGCTTCCAAACAACTGCAAAATTACTGTCATATATTGATGCTCCATTTGTTTATGACGGAACAGTTTGTAAAAATGGCTTGTTTGTTGGTGAAAGCTGTAATGTTTGATAAAAGTGATCGGGAGAGAGTTGGGTTGTTTACGACGACAGGAGAAATTGTCAAATGAATCTAAAGTTGTCCCACTTTAAAAAAAAATAGAACAACATAGCTATTTTATTTTTGTTTGAAGATAATTATCATAATAATTAGTAAATAAATAAATTGAATAATTAAATAGATAATAATATCAATGTCCTGGTTATGACATTAAACTGACCCTCACTGCCTTGTGAGTGATGTTGGATCATCAAAGGCTAGGCCCACCGCTTATAACTGTGGTTGTGTAAGGAAGGGCGTCCTGCGTAAAAATTAGCCAATAAAGAATTTATGATGACAAAAGTAACAATGGAATATAGGCACGTTGACAGGAAGGAGTTTGGAAGTGGTGGAGGAGTTGCAGAGGAGAATGGTTGACGTGGCTGCATTACAGGAGATCAGATGGAAGGGAGAAGGTACAAGGTTTGTGGGGGCTAAAGGTGAAAGGTATAAGTTGTGGTGGAAGGGGGATGATGGTACGGGAGGAGTTGGTGTGATGGTAAGTTGGTGAAGATGTTGGAAATGAGGCGAAAAAGCAATGGTGTAATTGTGGTAAAAAAATAATCACAAAACGGAAAACTGTTTTTTCAATAAAAAGAATCAGAAAAGTTATGTATGATGTTGCATCAATAAAAACACAACATAAATCTCCAAACAACAAAGTTTTTTTGCTGAAATTCAAGAAGACGATGGAAAATTAGAACTATTTACAGCATTTGTTGGTGAACATACGGAACATAAGAGATACGGAACAACAACTGCACTGGTTCACCGCGATTGTGTAGAACCACATTTATACACAGGCGAAACGGGCTCAATCTAAGATTTCAAAGGTAATGTCACTACACATCCTGTAGCAATCATCTACATTAATACCGCGTATTTCTCCGGCTGGCATAAATCACTAGTTTTAGATCAACCTCTTGATGGCATTGATCTTATGATTGGGAATATTAACAACGTTATGAATTGTACAAATCTTGATATTCAACAATGGGAAAAAAAGCATGAAATAAACAGATCCATGATGATCACAAGAGCACAACACAGAAAGATAGATGAAGCAGAAAAGGCAGATTTAAAATGTTTGCCACCACAAATAATTGAAGAAACTACAAAATCAGAAGATGAAAACATGAACAGAACTGAGAAAAGTAATTGCAAAAATTTTAAAGATAAAGGAAAGGAGAATGATAACAATCAACAAAAGTATAATAAACCGAAAGATGAATTAAAAGATAACAATGAAGTTGAAGTAGTGGAGCATGATAAGCTAGATCAAACAACAATCAATGACCATGAACCGTTGAACCTGTGACCGATTTGATAACTGATCAGTTAAATGATGTTGATCTTTCAAAATTGATTCAAAGTCCTAAACAAAATCCAAAGTTACCAAACAGGAAGATGGAGTTTACATCAGAGAGACAATTCTCAACACTGGACCAACGAAGCAGTTGCTAGCACCACAGAAGTACCGGAAACAAATCATGCAACTTGCTCATGATACACCTTTTGCAGGTCACATGGGATGTAAGAGGACCCTGAAGAGAATCTTGAATGAATTTTACTGGCATTACAAAGGATGTGAAACGATATGTCAGATCATGTCACATTTGTCAAATCCATGGCTTAAAGAGACCAGATATCATAGCTCCAATCCAAACAGCTTCAGTTTCAGAACTACCATTCCAGAAGGTTGCATTAGATATTATAGGTCCACTACCTATACCATCCAACCGAGGGCACAGGTACATTCTAACACTTATTGATTTGTGCACTCGTTTTCCAGAAGCTATACCGTTGAAACATATCACGACCAAAGATATAGCTGACACTCTGATCACTATATTTTCAAGGGTCGATTATCCAAATACTATTCTTTCTGATCAGGGAACTCAATTCATTTCAAACGAGTTTCGTCAATTCTATAATTTCTCAAGCCAATGGTATGTGCGAAAGATTTAATGGAACTTTAAAGAATATGCTAAACAAAGTTGCACAAGACGATCAAGCAGAATGGGACAAATTTTTACCGCCATTACTTTTTGCTTACAGAGAAATACCAAATGAGACAACAGGTTTTTCACCATTCGAGATGTGCTACGGTTCAAATTGCAGAGGTCCTATTTCATTGTATGAAAACTTTTTGTTAAAACAAAGCTTACAACCAGATTTCCATACTTCATATGAACTAGTTATTAAAACCAGAGAGAGAATTGTGAAGGCATGCCAATTAATTTTAAATAAATCAGAACATGTAATACCATCATCTGGTATTGTTGCTTCAACCTACAAACCAAATTGATGAAATTCCTACAATGGAGACAACTCAAAAGGGAACGTACCTAAATATAAATATAGCACACTTATCAAACTCTCAACAAACGGAAATCAGTGATTTAATCAAGAAATATAGAAACATTTTTTCAGATCTACCAGGACAAACAAATGTCATCAAACATAAAATTTAAATTACTGATACAACACCAACCAGAATTAAACCATATCCAGTTCCGCTCCGTTTAGAAAACTTCCTGAGACAAGAAATCAACAAACTAGTTCAACAAGGTATCATTTCGGTTTCTGATTCTCCATATGCTGCTCCAGTCGTACTGGTTAAAAAGAAAACCGGTGATATCAGAACATACGTGGACTTTAGATTTTGCAAGGAGATATTGGCAAATACCAATGGATGAAGGCTCAAAGAAATATACATCATTTATCACACTTTTTGGCAACTTCATTTGGAATTTTATGCCTTTCGGACTAACAAACGCCCCAGCAACGTTCAATCGAATGATGTCCATTTTATTTGGCCAACGAAGAGATGTTGTCTTCTATTTAGATGATGTTTGCATTTTTTACGCGATTTGGCAGGAACATCTTACAGCACTAGAAGACATTTTCAACACGATAGAGAAAAATTCTGACAATTAAACCTAGTAAAGTCAACATAGGTAATACTGAAATCAAATTTTTAGGACATATCGTCTATGACAACAATACGACCACTACAAAACAACATCAGTAAAATTTTACAGATAACAACTCCAACTACAAAAAAAAGAAGCAAGGAGTATTATTGGATTATGTAATTACTATAGAAGATTCATACCAAAGTTCACTGAATGGTTACAACCATTACTAGAAAGTATAAAAAAATATGCACCCAACAGAACCTTTAGAAAAGTGTATTCAGGAACTTACAGAAATATTTTCAAAAAAAATAATCCTTCAATTACCTAGACAGACATCAACAAAACAGACATCAACAAAACATTCACTGTAGTCTGTGATGCTTCAGCTTTGTCGATCGGTGGAGCCTTGCTACAACAGGTTGATGGTATACTTAAACCCATTTGTTTCGTAACTAGAAAGATGACACCAGCAGAACAAAATTTCTCAACAATTGAAAAAGAAGCTCTAGCCATCCTCTTTACGATAACGGTTTTGATTTTTTTTTTTTTTTGATGGTAGACATTTTTGATAATAAAAGTTTAAAATTAATTTCTTGTTTGATTAGTGTTCAACTCATAAATTCGAAGAACTCGTAATAATTTGGTTGTGTTTCAAGTATGGCCGCACACCGCTAGAAAGTTGCAACAGTGACGATGGAGGAAGTAGAGAAAGCAGTTAGAGAAATGAAACTAGGTAAGGCGACAGGGGTTTCGGATGTGGCGGCGGAACATATAAAAGCGAGTGGGATGATAGGAATTGAAGTTATGATGAGAATTGCTAACAGTATGTTTGATGGTGAAGGTATACCTGAGAATTGACGACACAGTGTGTTGGTGCCGTTGTATAAGGGCAAAGGAGATGTGAAAGATTGTGGGTCATATAGGGGTGTGAAATAGCTAGAGCATGGAATGAAGGTAGTGGAGAGGATGCTTGAGAGGAGGTTGAGAAATATGGTGACAGTTAATGAAATGCAGTGTGGGTTTATGCCTGGTAAGGGAACGGTGGATGCGTTGTTCATAGTGAGAATGTTGCAGGAGAATTATAGAAAGAAGAAACAAAGATTGTACAGGTGTTTTGTGGATATAGAAAAGGCTTTTGATCGAATACCGAGAAAGGTCAATGAATGGGCGTTGAGGAAGAAAGGAGTGAATGTTAAAGCTGTGATGCATGGCCCAAGTACGAAGTTTAAATCAGAATAAAAATGTCCCATAACGATCCAGTTCATGTTTATGGCTAATTCTACAGTTCGGTCCACACTATTGCCAGATGTTGCTTGGTTGTAACCAATGAAATGTGTATATCATTGCCAGCATTGCCTACATTTAAACCTGCACACAAAGAAATTATGTGTTTTATTTTCTGTTGCTTAATATTTAAATTGAACAGTAAACGTCAGAAACTTTAAAATTGCGATAGAATAAATATGTCTACATTATAAAAACATGGTGAGGATAATCACGTTTAGTGATGGTCCACACACATCAGCTATTATTGATGGGTCTCTACACCAATGTCAAAAGAGCCCTACATCGATGATGTAGGTGACTTGTACATTACAATAGCTTTTAGAAAGTGGACTTGTCTATCAGAGGGTGATATGGTCCATCATGGGACCATATTCTAACCCATCTTGCAGTATCAGGACGAAAAATTTTCACTCCTATACAAACGTACTTGCGGATGCAGGTCAACACACCATTTAATAATAGCAATACTAATGTCAATTAATAAAGCCCCTGGCAAGCGACTGAGGCGCCCTCGCAACCGAATATCTTCAATCAAACGTTTATAAAGCTTTTTTAAATAAAAAGATTTCAGTGACTGCTTGATGTATGGTGCAGAGACGAGACCAATGACAACAAAACTGGAGAGCAACTTCACCGAACGGATATGAAAATGATTCGAAGGATGCAACACGTCTATCTGAGGGAACATATTCATAAGACCGAAATTCTGAGCCGTGCAGGATTATGCGCCCTAAAAGATACTTGTCGACGTCATCGCCTACGATGATTTAGTTTTTCAGTCATGTAACGCGAAGAGAAAATGGGATGATAATCTCTGTCACAAATCATCAGGTACCTGAATACGCCTACGGGGCCTCCCAAAGAAGTCTTACAGGAAGACTTGAAGGCACTAAATCTTGGAGACAGAAATTGATGTCAGGAATATAAAAGTCCAAACCAAAACGGAAAAGGACTATAAACGAGGATGATTGATCAATGACGACTTGAATGACTGAAAAAAACCGCAATTCTTGATGTTTTGTAGAAAAGAATTCTAGACGTAAGGAGCAGCATGGAGAAATGCACGACTGGTAATATTGTTGGTTGTTTTGTGTTGATGAAAATGTAGAGCAATGGAAGAGCGAAATTGCTTGTTGTTTGTATTAACATGTAGGATATCGTCGAGATATGACTTTGAATGCGAGGTTGAGATAACGACTATCTTAAATAATATACAAAAGTGAAATTGGAGCCAATGGAAGGTAATTAGATTCGACGAGGTTGTTGATACCAGACGATGTTGTGGTGCATCAGAATAGAGTACTATTATAGCAATTCTATTCATTTATCTCTGGAGACATAATTCTTGTTTTTAGATACCATACATTAAAGAAATACAGTAGTCCAATTTAGACAGTATTATACATCGCGCCAGATCGGTAGATAAAAACTGTCTGATATGTCGAATTTCTCTTATATAATTGTTACTGATTTTTGCCATTGACGTAATAATTCAAAAAAACTCAGTTTCCTATCCTGTCCAAGCGTCTTTAGTGTATTGGATATAGGAACCGAGGTGTCGCCTAAGTTATTTAATTTATTTATTGATTGGATGAATGAAACTATGGATCGTTGTCATATATATATATATATATACATATATATATATATACATATATATATATATATATATGATATATACAATACATATATATATATATTCATATTTTTTTATCACACCTGCAGTAGCATGTCGATAAATTCTCACTCCTGTATACTCACGTACTTGCGGTTGCAACACACCATATATATTTATATGTATTTAAAAGTCAAAATTATTTTATTAAACAAAGGCTGGAAGACGGTGAAGTTTTAAGGAACTTGTATGGCCACCAAAAACATTAAAAATACACAAAAATATTACGATCCAGAAATAATAGTACAGGAAATCTGACTTAAAAAGACATGGATACAAAAATGACTTAATTTGAAGAACAGAAAGAACTATTTTATAAAAAATGAATAATTTATATATATATATAATTTATATATATATATATTTATATATATAATTTATATATACATACATAGTTTTCAAGAAAATCAACCGCGTTAATACAATTTTTATGTTTATACATTAATTTTCCAAGTTTTCTAATTAAAATTTTATTAAAATTATTTAATTTATTAAGTAAAAAACAAAAGTTATTATTGTTCATGTTTATTAATATAAATAATTGCAAAAAGCTTTTTCGATATAAAATATATCATCGTCAGCGCAAAATATTTTTAAATAATAACGAAAATTACCGTTTATAAACAAATGACGTCATACAGTATAACTTAATTATAAGCGCGAAACATTTTTGAAAATATTATTATTAATTATTATATACTATATATTTAACACATTGATAAAATTAACTTTAAATGATTTACATAGTATAAATTAGAATTAAACAAAATAAATTAAATTAAAATTTTAAAAATTGCTGAAAAAACGACCATAAAGTAAATCAACAAAATAATATGAAATCAATATATATATATATATATATATAACTGCCCAGTGTGTGTACATTAAAACTATTTTAAAATATTTTTTATTATTTCTTTAATAAAGTTTACGTTCCTGTTTCCCTCAAACCATTGAAAAAACATCCTGTCCAGAGTGCAGTTAGTAAAAGTTAAATTGATTATATATATATATATATATTATTAGATGATTTATATAGCGCCCATTAAAAGGTTTTCAGAGGCGTTCTATATATATAGTGTTTTATATATATAATAATAACACTTCATAATTGGACAATCAATCAATCAATCTTAGCTCAACGTCCATAAATCCAGTTCCCCCGAGGTGGGACGTTGTTTTCTTTGCCATCAATTTTTTGCACCAAATATCACGATCAGTTGTATGCATTTCATTTAAATTTAGAGCTTTCATGACTTGCTCGATTGTTTGCGACCAGGACTTCTTTGGACGGCCTTTGGGACGTTTGCCAGGTATTTTAACATCTGCAAGAGAAGCACTGTTTCCACTTCGTTTGACATGACCAAACTACCGCAGACGGTGTTGCCGACATTCGTCCTTTATATCATCTAAACCAGCACGACGCAGGATTTCGGTAGATTTGATATGGTTCTTCAAACTAATTCGTTGCATCCATCGGAGGATTTTCATATCGGTTCAGTGAAGTTGTTGTTTCAGTTTGGTTGTCATTGGCCATGTTTCTGCACCATATAACAACACCGGACGTATCACAAATTTATAAAGTCTTGATGGTAGTGGTTGTGGAGATGCCATTTATTCCAGGTTGCACGTATGCGTGCTTGATTGACGGCTTCAGCTGTTCCAGTACAATCCAGAACATATCATAGATATTGAAACGATGTCACTTTCTCTACCTTAATGGCTTCAAAAACATTGCTATATCGAATTTGTGTGGATTGATGCAAGCAGGACAAACAAAATTGGACACTTTAGATAAAGTACCAATTATTTTTGAACAACGTTTGTGACATCACTGGTTACACTGCTGACACTTGATTGAGTTATTACCTACACCAGCTTTACAAACTGAACAGGGCCAAAGTCCAGTAGCTGTGGATTGGATTGGTTCACCAGTGTTCATTGCTTTGGTTTTGCTGATGTTGACTTTGAATCCATGATCGGCGAGTCTGGTGGTCCAATCTTCAAACATCTGTGCTGCATTCTGCTCAGGCGTGGCTGTTAAAACGATATCATCAGCATATATTAAATTCCAAATGTCACCAGTGCGTATCAGCTCTGATTTCTTCCATCACAGTTATAAAAAACAGTGGACTGAGAATCGAGCCTTGGTGAACTCCAACGCTGATGTCAAATGCATTTGTGTTTCCAGGAGAGTCTTAGTATTCGTATACATTTCCATCACAAGTCGAACAAGGTATTCTGGAATGAGACATAATTGGACAATATTTATATATATGTGTATATACATGTATTTATATATTGTCGGAAATTTTAAAATAAATGATAAGGAGATTTTTCAAATTATGACTAAGCCCCACGTTGGGCGCTAATTGTCGGAAAATCTATAAATGAAAACAATTAAAACAACTGGTGGTGTGAGATAATCTCCTCCTCTATCTTTCTCAGGGAATATTTTTTATAGTCCGACAATAATTTTTGTGTATATTTTTAACGTGAGTTCGACCAGTCCTGTGTGGCACTGGGCTTTTTCGAATTATATGATTTTACTGAGTAACACACGAACGCGTAAAGAAAAATATTCGATAACAATTTTATTAATCGACGGAAGTAAATAAAAAGGAATTGAACTAATGAACTCTATAATAATGTAAATGTCAATGAACAAACTGGAATACAGGAATTAGAATTCTTCTTGTTGGGTCTTCGACTTGGGATATGTTTCTTGCCGTTTAATCGTACAACCTCGACGTTTGTAACCGATAGTGATGTCGATACAACTCCAAGAAATAAATGAAATGAATGTGGAAAAATTACAAAAATCGGAGCCTATGGAAATTCCAAGCTGCGTGTGAAACTATACCAATGAGTATAGAATCCAGCAAAGAACCCTAGGTCCACAAATAGCACAAGAAACAAAACAACGAGGCGGATTCGTTTTCACAGAACCAGGCCTGTTTTCACTGGGCCTGTCTGTCAGTCGGTCGGCTTTCGCACAACCCTGGCCTGTTTTCACTGGGCCGTCGAGTCTGATCGGCTTTCGCACGACCAAGGGCCTGTTTTCACTGGGCCTGTCAGTCAGTCGGTCGGCTTTCGCTCAACCCTGGCCTGTTTTCACTGGGCCGTCGAGTCTGATCGGCTTTCGCACGACCAACACAAAACAACAAGAGTCAGAACAACACTGGAAACAAATTGTGTGACTTTAGTACGCGTGCGAAACTATGCCAATGAGCATAGAGTCTCGTACCAAATCCACTTTTGAGAACTTAAGACGTTTCTGAAACTATGCCAATGAGCATAGAATCACGCATTAAGTCTCTTAGATACCAGAATAGGCACTGATTACTCGAAGCTGCCTAACTGGTGAACCCAAGGCTGACTCTTTTTGAGAACTTAAGACGTTTCTGAAACTATGCCAATGAGCATAGAATCACGTATTAAGTCTCTTAGGGACCAGAATAGGCACTGATTATTCGAAGCTGCCTCACTAGTCAGCCCAGTCTTTTCACACCCTTCCTTATCAAAGCAAAATTAGATTTTGTTTCGGGTGTTTTAAAAACATAAAAATTTCCAAGGTATGTCCAATTAATAAAAAGAAAACTACTAATTAAATTTTAAAATAATTTGTAATAATTTATGACGTCATCTAAATTGCAAAACAAAAAAAATCGTCACCTATCGAGTAAATTAACTTGCACCATGCCCCCTATCGAATGAATAAATTTCGCGTTGAAAATTTTGCAGTATTTTTAGTCAGTATTATTTCATAATTCTGACAATATATATATATATATATATATATATATATATATATATATATATGCGTGTGTGTGTGTGTATTTATATTTAATTATAAGTATATGATATATACATATATTGTTTTGTTTGACAAAGTCAATCTTCATCTAAATTCATTTTGGCACCTAATTTCCATCTAAGTTCACTTGGACAAAGTCAATCTCCATCTAAATTCATTTTGACAAAGTCAATATTTCAAAGTCAAAGTAAAAGGTATGTCCAATTAATAAAAAAAAACAAACTACTAATTAGATTTTAAAATAATTTGTAATTATTTATGACGTCATCTAAATTGCAAAACAAAAAAAATCGTCGTCACCTATCGAGTAAATTAACTTGCACCATGCCCCCTATCGAATGAATAAATTTCGCGTTGAAAATTTTGCAGTATTTTTAGTCAGTATTATTTCCTAATTCTGACACTTTCCACCACCCCCTCTTTCTGGTTGGAATAAAATAACAAAAAAAATGCGAGAAAATAAAAAAAAATAAAAACAAAAAAATAAATATATAAATGAAATAAAAAATATAAAAATAAATAAAAACAAAACAAAACAAAAATTGTGCGCATAATGATTATAGGAAGGAATGCTATAACCAATGAGGAGAAGGCACGCATTTCGTCTACTTGCAAAAAAAAAACAAAAAAAAACAAAATCTTCTTCTGTCGAATACATAATAAAAAAAAATAAAATAAAATATGAATCAAGAAAAAAACAAAATCCCCGTGACAAAGAAAATATGCGAGTGTGGGTTTGTGGCGCAAAGGCCTAGACACCTGCTTAGACATAAGAAGTACAATTGTATGGGGAGGAGGGCTAATAAAGCAGACAATCCAGCACAGAATGAAAGTGCGAGGCCAAGCGTAGATGATCAGCGGGTCGTCCCCAACCTCAATAACGACGTTGTGGAAGAGCTTATCACTCTTGAGTTAGACGATTCGGATGTACAGGCGCTGATCTGGGAACTAGGAGACATTCCTACTCTTGAATTATTTTAATTTGTTTAAAAAAAAAAAAAAACTGTTTACTACTTCGTTCCTAATAAGCGTTTTTAAAATTTAATATGGCGTCTGCTTTATTTTTACTAACGAAAGATAGTTTAGTAAGTAAGACGCGTAATAAGGCTTCATTGTACGATATAATTTGCAATCCGACACCAATTTTATACGTTGTATGCCAGTTGCCAAAAAAAAATGTAAACAATTCAAATAAGTCTCTATATAATGGCATATGTATAACAACAACAAAATTAAATTAAAATTAAACAAAAAACAGGAAACAAAAACATTGTTTTCATACATGCTTCAATTTATTTATGTGTACGACAATGGTTTTATAACCATTACACTTCTTAATCTCAAAATTTACATCACTTATTTTTCTTGAAATCATGTAAGGACCGTCATATAACTTTGTCCCCTTAGGATACTTATTTTTAACGTGCTTTGGATTATAATAATAAACCATTTGTCCTTCTGAAAATTGTTTATCCTTTACTCTTAAGTCATACTGTGCAAGTAATATTTTAATATCTTTTTCTTTATCAACAAATTGACTCAAATCTGGTACTACTGAATGTTTGATGACGTCTTTAATTAAGGATAGGTCTTTGTCTTTCACTTGTTCTGTAACCCAATCAACACCGTCTTCTACTTTGTTTTCTGTTATAACACCACATACTGCTCTCGACAATCCATCAGCGTTTGTATGTTTACTTCCTGGCCTATGCTCAATAGTGTAATCGTACTCTTCAAGAATTTCAATCCATCTTGCTTGTTGTCCTATTGGTTCTGGTGTTTTTCTCAGCCACTGAAGCGCTGCATGATCTGTTCTTGTTTTGAATAAACGACCGATCAGATACTTCCTGAACTTTTTCACAAATGTTATAATTGCAAGTAATTCTTTCCTGGTTACATTGTAATTCATCTCATGTTTATTAAATAACTGACTACCGTAACAAATGGGTTTTTCTACTCCATCTTGTAATTGTGAAAGTACTGCACCCATGGCTTTATCTGAAGCATCTCAATCTAAAATAAACGCATCTTCATCATTAGGTAAAGCTAATATTTCAGAACTGATTAATTTTTCTTTCAATCTATCAAAAGCAGTTTGACATTCGTGCGTCCATTGAAACTTGTTACATTTCTTTGTCAATTCATATAACGGAGCTGCTATTTCTGAAAAATCTGGTACAAATCGTCTGTAGTACTGGCACAAACCTACAAACGCTCTACTTTGTTTTAGTGTAGTTGGTACTGGCCAATCTTTAATTGCTGCAATTTTAATAGGGTCCGTTCCGATCCCTTTATCACTAACTATATAACCTAAACAGCTAACTGATTTCTGCATTAAATGACATTTCGACGGTTTGAGCTTTAAATTTGCCTGGTGCAATCTTTGAAACAACAGTTCTAATCTTTTTAAATGTTCGTTTAAATTTTTACTAAATATGATTATATCGTCTAAGTAAACTAAACAGGTCTCAAAATTTAATCCTATCATGATATTGTCCATTAATCTTTGAAATGTGGCAGGGGCATTACAAAGTCCAAATGGCATTCTGGGAAATCTGAAGGTACCGCAATGACAAACAAAAGTGGTCTTATTTCTATCTTTAGGATGAACTTCAACCTGATGATATCCTGATCTTAACTCGAATGAACTGAACCATTGGGATCCAGACAACAAATCGAGACATGAGTCTATTCGAGGAAGTGGATACACATCTTTAATCGTTATTTCATTTAACTTTCTATAATCTACACAGAATCTATAGGAATTATCTTTTTTTTAACTAATACTAAATTAGAAGCCCATTCGCTCTGACAAGGTTCTATAACTTTTTGCTGTAACATCTCTTCTAACAAATTGTCAATGATTGGTAGATGTGCTCTAGGTTGCGGTCGCAATGCTTGGCGAAATGGTCTGTTTGCCCCGGTATCAATTTCATGTTGCGTTACATTAGTTCTTCCTAAATCAAACTCGCTTAATGAGAGAATATTTTTATACTTCAGCAACAACTTTCTCAAATTACTACGAACATTATCTGGAACACTGGAATCATCAACTCATCAACTATTGTTTTTATAGTCTCATCATATTCTTTGGTGGGCTTGTTATTCGATTGTTGAACTTCATCAACTACAACTACTTTATGTAATTTGGTGATTACTTGATCCTTAGGTATTTCAACTTTTTCATCTGATATGTTACATACTCTAATACTCGTAGACGTACTCGTAGAATTTATTGACATCAATTAATGATCTCGCAGTTAGCAAATTGTTTTTGATTTTATTTATGCTAGTTGACCATGCTGTATTCTGTCCTAAAGGCTTCAAATTTGATTTTTCTATAAACGTCTGAATGAACATTTCACTGCGGGGTGGGATGACAGCTGTAACTTTCGAAATGCATCTTATATCTGTTTCTTGTCTAGATTTTACGAGATTGTAACCTTTTCCGTTTATTTCAATACTACTCCTTCCAAAGTTCCAAATGCAGTTGTTATCATATAACCAATTCTTTCCTAAAATTATATGATCAACGTTTGGTGACACATAGAAAGTTGTAAGAATCTTCTGATACTTAAGTTCTAATGGCAGTGTAATTGTTCCGTTTACAATTAACTCCATGTTATTAACTGCATATAATTCTTTATTACTTTTCAAAATTTTCAAATCATCAACAAATTTCTTTGGACAAAGATTCACATCTGCACCACTATCTAGTAGACATTTTAAATGTTTGTTTCTAAATACAGCTTCTAAATGAACTAATGCTTCCTTATCATGGTTACACTTGAAGGGTGTTTTTACTGTTTGTACATTTCGATTTAATCTCGTCGTATTTTTGCAACTACCAACATTTTGTCTGAAGTTATTAGTGTTCGCTTGACTGAAGTTTCTATTATTTTGCTGGTAACTACTTTTTCTTTGGTCAATCGTACTGTTGTTTCTGATAAAATTATTATTATTTCCAAACTTATTGTTAACATCTTTTCTCTGACTGTTATTTCTGTTTTCAAACTTATCTCGTTTAATCTCATCAATCATGCTGAACAATTTTTCTATTTTGTTATTCATATTTGTAATTGGATCATCCTGTTTAACAACATTGGATTTCTTATCATCAAACTCGTCATTATCTTGAACTATCTGAATTAAAGATCTCGAATGACTTCTCTTGCCATCATCTGATAAAACTTTATATTTTTCATATAGCTGACATACTTCGTCTAATGTTTTTGGTTCTTTGTCCTTTACATAGAACATGATTTCTTTATTACCAATAGCATTAATTAAATGTTTTACTGCAAACTTTTCTCTCATGCCGTTACTTAACTCTGGATAGGATAGTCTTGATAGTCTGTTAACTTCCTGAGACACATCTCGAATGTTCTGACCTTTTTGTAATCTAAGCTGCGATAAACTATACTCGTGTGTTTCTGAATAGTTTGATGGTCCAAATCGTTTAAACAACAGCTCTTTAATCTCGTTATACGTGACTGTGTCAATATCTGGCAATTCGTGAAATACACCTCTTGCTTTCCCATCTAGTGCATGCAAAAGGGATAGTGCTTTTTCCTGTGATGTCCACTTATTTACTTTTGCGGTTATTTCAAATTGACAAAAATACTCAGTTATATCTTCTGAGCCATTGAATCTACTAACTCTCCACTCTTTAGTTTTACTAAAAATTCTATTATTTACATTTGCTTCCTCATCTGGCATCTCACTTTGCCTAGGATGTGTTTTGCGATTTGGCATAGTGCAACTCAAATACAAATCTTAATACTATCAAAATATCAAATGTGTGCAATTACTCGATAATGTAATAAAAATGCAAAAAAAAAACAAGAAAAATTGTTATATTTTACAACGAGTTACTCAGTAAATCAATCGTAAACTAAATTCGATACTTCCAAAACTGAAGTAATAATTAAAAGTAAAATGGAAACCTCGATAACTTGAAAAATAAAATTGTTATTCGAGGCCCCACGTTGGGCGCCAATTGTCGGAAATTTTAAAATAAATGATAAGGAGATTTTTCAAATTATGACTAAGCCCCACGTTGGGCGCTAATTGTCGGAAAATCTATAAAGGAAAAAAATTAAAACAACTGGTGGTGTGAGATAATCTCCTCCTCTATCTTGACTTTGAATCCATGATCGGCGAGTCTGGTGGTCCAATCTTCAAACATCTGTGCTGCATTCTGCTCAGGCGTGGCTGTTAAAACGATATCATCAGCATATATTAAATTCCAAATGTCACCAGTGCGTATCAGCTCTGATTTCTTCCATCACAGTTATAAAAAACAGTGGACTGAGAATCGAGCCTTGGTGAACTCCAACGCTGATGTCAAATGCATTTGTGTTTCCAGGAGAGTCTTAGTATTCGTATACATTTCCATCACAAGTCGAACAAGGTATTCTGGAATGAGACATAATTGGACAATATTTATATATATGTGTATATACATGTATTTATATATTGTCGGAAATTTTAAAATAAATGATAAGGAGATTTTTCAAATTATGACTAGGCCCCACGTTGGGCGCTAATTGTCGGAAAATCTATAAATGAAAACAATTAAAACAACTGGTGGTGTGAGATAATCTCCTCCTCTATCTTTCTCAGGGAATATTTTTTATAGTCCGACAATAATTTTTGTGTATATTTTTAACGTGAGTTCGACCAGTCCTGTGTGGCACTGGGCTTTTTCGAATTATATGATTTTACTGAGTAACACACGAACGCGTAAAGAAAAATATTCGATAACAATTTTATTAATCGACGGAAGTAAATAAAAAGGAATTGAACTAATGAACTTTATAATAATGTAAATGAACAAACTGGAATACAGGAATTAGAACTTCTTCTTGTTGGGTCTTCGACTTGGGATATGTTTGTTGCCGTTTAATCGTACAACCTCGACGTGTGTAACCGATAGTGATGTCGATACAACTCCAAGAAATAAATGAAATGAATGTGGAAAAATTACAAAAATCGGAGCCTATGGAAATTCCAAGCTGCGTGTGAAACTATACCAATGAGTATAGAATCCAGCAAAAAACCCTAGGTCCACAAATAGCACAAGAAACAAAACAACGAGGCGGATTCGTTTTCACAGAACCCAAGGCCTGTTTTCACTGGGCCTGTCTGTCAGTCGGTCGGCTTTCGCACAACCCTGGCCTGTTTTCACTGGGCCGTCGAGTCTGATCGGCTTTCGCACGAACAAGGGCCTGTTTTCACTGGGCCTGTCTGTCAGTCGGTTGGCTTTCGCACAACCCTGGCCTGTTTTCACTGGGCCGTCAAGTCTGATCGGCTTTCGCACGACCAAGGGCCTGTTTTCACTGGGCCTGTCAGTCAGTCGGTCGGCTTTCGCTTAACCCTGGCCTGTTTTCACTGGGCCGTCGAGTCTGATCGGCTTTCGCACGACCAACACAAAACAACAAGAGTCAGAACAACACTGGAAACAAATTGTGTGACTTTAGTACGCGTGCGAAACTATGCCAATGAGCATAGAGTCTCGTACCAAATCCACTTTTGAGAACTTAAGACGTTTCTGAAACTATGCCAATGAGCATAGAATCACGCATTAAGTCTCTTAGATACCAGAATAGGCACTGATTACTCGAAGCTGCCTAACTGGTGAACCCAAGGTGAACTGGTGAAGAAAAAGTAGTTTTTAATCAATTGTCATCTTATTTAAACTCTAACTCCTTACTACCTGTATCTCAATCTGGTTTCAGACCTGCTCACAATTACTGAAACTTCTTTACTCAAAATACATAATGATATCTTTCTCTCTAGTGACAATAGTAATCTTACTTTTCTTCTTGCTCTTGACTTTTCCTCTGCCTTTGATACTGTTGATCATACTATTTTCTTAAGGCTGCTAGATCTTTCTTTTAATATTACTGATTCTTGTCTATCTTGGTTTTCTTCTTATCTCTGTAATCGTTTTTCTTCTATTGTTCTCAATAATTCTACTTCTAACTCCTCTACTCTTACTTTCGTGGTACCTCAGGGTTCTATCCTTGGCCCTTTTCTATTTATACTCTATGCCTCTGAACTACCTCGTTTTATTAATAACTTTTCTTTCTCTAGTCAACTATATGCTGATGAATAGTTTTCGTTTTCTATAAACACCTTTCAGACAAGTAGCTTGGGTCTAAACCAATTTTAATGAGGTTACGATGACCTCTCCCACCGACAAAGGAGACCCTTGGCGCTCGTGTATCCTACGTCCAATGGACGAGCCTATAACCGGTAAGCCGCCTCTTTCGTGTTTTAATAATCAACCTGTATTGATGCTGGAGTGTCTGAGGGGCCCATGGAAAGACGTGGGTCAATACAGCCTAGTTTCAGCTGAGTCGCAGATGTTGCCAAAATCGACCAATATGGGGGTCACAATAGGGACTCCGGCTCCTATTTTTTTCAGGGTTAACTTAGCCTTTCCTTAAGAAGGTAATAGCAAGGCAACAATGGTCTTATTTACAGAGGCTTTCTTCTGACTACTCTAACTTTGGCCAGCACAAAAGAAGATTTAAGCTCTCCGTGTCCGGCATGCGTGGCGCTACCGTCTTTCACTAAGCCGTTGCCCATCGACTATGCCAGGGTCTGGAGTATATATATATATATATTTTACAATATTCTATAAACTCTACCGAATGCTTGGCGCCAAGCATTCGGTAGAGTTTATAGAATATTGTAAAAATTATGGTCTATTACCAACATATATATATATATATATATATATATATATATATATTTATATAATATATATATATATTGACTCTTCAATTGTCTCTTCAAAGGTTACCGATTTCAAAATACCAGGAGAGACGTATTGGAGTGCCGTCTGCGATGAGAGTATTGGCAATATGAGACTAAGATGTTTAACAAATATGCTGAGTAAACACGTAGAGATTTGATTTGTTCTTTAGATTTTATAGGTATGTTGAAGTTTTTGTAGATATGATTTTTAACGTAAGATTTAAAATTTTGTTAATAATTTGAGCGGTGACCGGAAACCAGCGCAACATGGGAAGGAGAATGAAGGACTGAATGAAAGAGGTTTGTCAAGAACGAATATGGCAGTTTTATTTTGAATTGTCTGTAATTTCAAATTAAATAAGACTTAATGTTTAATGGACAATTATTGTTTGTGGGTAGCAAAGGGGAAAAATAAAATAATTCAAAATTTTCAGACATTTTTTTAAAAGAATTCTTTTTTAAAATGTGAAGTGGCAAGTCATTGTACTTGATTTCGATTTTGAAAAATAGATATACGGCAATTATGGCGCAACAAAGGGTAAAACTGCAAAGATTGTCTAGTTGTAGTCAGTCGAAACGTATCACTGTCCATTCATTTTTTTCTTAATTTAATAAGTTAAACTTTGCTGTTTTTTTCCACTTTAAGATAAATGCGCATGTTAATGGAAATGAGATATAAAAGTGATTCTAACATTTGTAGCTCCCTATAAATTCAAACTTAAATGAAATATTTGTGCTACTAAAAATGTATCCAAAACCAATCATATCGTTTTTAAACATATTAAGAAATAAATATTTATTTGAATTTCTAATGTTCGGTGTTTTAAAACTTTAATTCTAATTTTTATCGATAGATTCCTATCTAGTGTGTAAATATGCTTTCAAATTTTTGCTCAGCGATGGATTTCAAAATTTATGGACTCAGGTTTATCCAAATTATCAGGTAAATATTAAAAAAAACCTTATTCAAAAAGATATAATGTTTGATATCATATTTTAGGAAACTTTTTTCGGTGATATTCAACCGATGTCTCCATTGAAATCCATGTCAAAGAAAAGAAACCTGTTCAGGAGATTACGAAACATTTTAAATGTAGATGTTGATTGCACTGTAGTTTCTCGGTGTGAAATATCAAATAGAATTACATACTATTTGTTAAATGTTGACAAAATTTCTCATATTTGAAGTATTTTATTTGTAACGGGTTCGATATTAATTAAAACGCAACAACCGATATATTATTAATTGTCCTTTATTAAAACCTAACTAAATAATTAATCAAGTAAATCAAATTAACGAAAATGAAGCGATAAAATAACCAACTTTACTAATGTCAACTCCGGCACAAGAACCACAGAAAAGAAAGAGGCTTAACTCATTTGTGCCAGCTATTTATAGGCATGTCGCAGGGCCGCAACTTACTCACGTGACAACTTATTCAATCATTAGCAGCGCACGGTGCTCTCTCCTAAGTAAGCGCTCGTACTTTGTGCTAGTAGCTAACCCACGTGACCATGTAATGGAATCATCACACATACAAAAATAAAAACTAAACAAAAATCAATGTTCGAAAATGCAATAAATGTTTCTCGACTTTTATATCCTGGAGAGAAAATTGGCAACATTACGTGAACCTGGGCGGTAACAGAATTGTGTATCATACTCTTGAAGAGCCATATCCAACGTGTAAGTTTTGAACTTTTTGGTGTCGATTCCGTCAGGTATGTTTTAATTAAGGTCTGTAAAAATTTTGATTTTGGATAAGCAAATCCATGATCGGATTTTTTGAAGGGCCCAAACTGAAGTGGTCTTTGTGCCTCTCTAACTCGGGCACTGTGTGGTCCGACATTGGTACAGCTTCGCATCTGATGTTGTTGGTGATGTTTCTCACCACTTCTATTCCTTGATAAATCTGATCTTTCTGAGTCCTGTCTGACTCTGGTCATATAATTCATTGGGGGCATGTTCGAGTAAAAATGAGGCTGCATTTGACTGCTGTGATGGAAGCCTGCTTCCGAACCGAGAGGGGCTCAGCTCTGAAATTCTCCAGTCTCTGATACTTGCTGAGCCAATTCTTCAACCTGCCATCGACCAGCACATGCTTCCTTGAATATTTGAAGAAAGCCCAGGACTTCTCCAGGCCATATAACTGGCCATTTTGATAATCGCTGATAGTCTCCTCTTGGAAGTGCTCAAACAAGTCAGGTAGAAATCTTTTCCCAAACCATAACTATAGAACCGAAACAAACATTCCATGCCATACCTGAACCATTCATTGGCATCCTCAATGGCAAGTTGCCTGAACTCCTCGTACATCTTTTGGTGAAAATGGTGACGAAAACAAAATGACCAAAAACTAAAAAGAGTGTTCATTTCTGTAGACTGCCCGATCCCAACCTTACGACGATCCTTGAGGCATTTGGCTCGGTAAGAATTATACTTGTGCCAGATGAAGTTGTTGTCCTTCAGTAGCTCGTGGGATGGGTGCTCCAACGTTACACACACCACTGACAAGGTTTCTGAAATTGTGTGACTCTTTTTATCCTTGAGTTTGTAGTCGACGATCCATCCGACGTTGTCCTCGACGGGTGGGTTCTCACAGTGGCGGGTCTTCTTCTTCCTCGGCGTTTGTAGATCAGCTTTGACAGCTTCTTTCACAACTGGATAGAACCTCGGATCATCATTGTTCACTCTCTTTGGTGTCCTCGGTGGATTGCCAGGTACAGGAAGTATGGGGATTTCTGTCGGCAACGATTGAGCAATTTCATTGGTTGTCGATGATGCCAAGGACGAGTGTGTTGACGGAAATCCTATTGAAATTTGTTTTGATGTCGTCGGCTTTGCAGGAGTTTTGAGGCTCTCCGGAAAATTCTTGGCATTGGACGATCTGGGTGGTAGAGTCCCACCAGAAGATTTATGATTATTATTTTTTTTAATTTGTTATTTCATCATTAGTTTGTTTTTGATGTTGTTGCGGTTACTTTTTCAGCTGTTTCTGCTGTTGATGTTGTTTTTGTTGTGGTCTTTGTGTTTCTTTGTTCTTCTCGCAACGCATGACGTTTCTTGTGGCCGTAGGTGTATTTCTACTTTTCCATGTACAGCGCTTCGCAATGTGACCGGTCTTCCCGCAAGAAAAACATCTCTGTTTGGATGAAACTATATTGTTGTTACGAACAAGAATTGTGCGCTTAGCCCTTTTTAGTTACAGGGTGGTGAATAGTTGAACCGGGTAATTGGTAGTTAGATTTTGTTAGAGGTGATTCGAAGGACGTGTGGCCATTTATATTTTAATTTTTGGAGTCTAAGAACAACTAATTTTTGTTTTGCGTCGACATTGCTGTTAATTAAATAAAGTTAATAATAAAAAAACCAAACGTTGTAGTTATTCTTTTTGTCATAACTTAAAAGAACTCGTAACATTTGGCGACTCTGACGTTAGGACTAGCAAAAGTCTAATAGAATGAAATATTAAAATTAAATTAAAAATAAAATAAAAACGGAGTTGTTATGACATTAAAATAATTAAAAACCTTTGAAACTGTGACATTGCAATTAATAAACTGAATAAATGCATTGGCATCGGTTGGATTAAAAACTGTTAAAATCGTCATAAAATTAAAAGGATATAACATCAGTAGTAGCGTCATCACTTTGTCTTCGTCAACATCAGTAGTAGCGTCACCACTTCGTAAGCATCAGTAGTAGCGTCATCACTTCGTCTTCGTCAACATCAGTAGTGCGGTTTTATACAAAAACTTAAGAAATGTCATCACTAGCTCAATTTACAAAGTCTGCAAAAGACCTTGGACTAACCGGTAACGAGGCTATGAAGTTCATCCAGCAACAGCAAGAAAAGGACTCATAAAGACAGGAAAAACAACGTATGCATGAACTTGAAATGCAACGGCAACAGCAAGAAAAGGATTCAGAAAGACAGGAAAAGCAACATATGCATGAACTTGAAATGGCCAGAATACAACAACAGAGAAATAACAATAATAATCATTTTGATAGATTCCATCAGTTGAAAAAAATGTTACCTTTTAACGAAGACACCTAATGTATTGATTCGTATCTGGCAAGATTCGAGAATTGAGCCGTGCTTGTGAATTGCCAGAACATGAATAGGCTCGAAGTTTGTCAGGACATTTGAAAGATAGAACCATTAACATATGTATACAATTGAATGAACAGGGCAAAAATCAGTACCCAATTGTGAAAGATGCTCTTCTGAGACAATTTGGAGCAACTGAAGAAGAAAGAGAAAAAAATTTTTTTTTCTATTTCTTGAAAAAGTGTCCCTGATCATAAAGATGATCCACGTCTGTTTGTGACAAATATGACAATGTACTTCGATAGATGGTTAGCCATGGCAGATGTGAATCAAACATATGAAGCAATTAGAAACTACATCATACTTGACACAGTAATTAATGCATACAGTGATCAAGTCCAAGTATTTGTGAAGGAACGTTGCCCTCGAACCTTGGACGCATTAACAACACTGATTCGGCTATACAAAACAGCTCATCCAAACCAGATATTATCCAGGCCAACTACAGTACAAACAGCATTTTTCGCAACAACTAAAACTAACAATTCGAGATTGAAAACCAATGTTGAATATGGAAGAACGGACAAGAGATACAATGGACAACAAAACACAAAAAAAGTAAATGATAATTCATCACCATACTGTGAAATTTGCGGAAAGAATAACCATAGAGCTGACAATTGCTATTTCAGAAATTCCAACAAACCTCAAACTCACAATACCGATACAACTCGAAAATTACCAATGCAGTATAAGCCAGTGAATAAAGTTTTTTTTTGCAGAGATTCAACAGGGCGATGGTAAACTAGAATTGTTCACAACATTTGTCAACCAACTTAAATGTACTGCACTAAGAGACTCAGGTACAACCACTTTATTATTATATCAAAATTATGTAGAGACGCATTCATATACTGGAGAGTATGGAAACATTAAAGATTTTAAAGGTAATGTTAGTACACACCCAATAGCAATAATCTATATTGATAGTCCTTATTTGACAGGATGGTACAAAACATTAGTATTAGATCAGCCTCTGGACGGCACTGACTTGATTATTGGAAACATCACTGATGTCAAAGATTGTACAAGATCTGATGTCATACAGTGGCAGAATAACCATGAAGTAAACAGGTCCATGGTGATTACCACAGCACAGAGTAGAAGAGAAAAAGGATCTGGAAAAACTAAATCAAAACTATATGCAGCCACGATTTATTGCAGAACAAACTATGTTGGGGGTTGATGATGAGGATGGAGTTGATTGTAACAGTGATGAGATGAATAAAAATAATAACAGCAGTGATGAGATGAATAGAAATAATAACAACAGTGATGAGATAAATAGAAATAATAACAACAGTGATGAGATGAATAAAAATAATAACAACAGTGATGAGTTGAATAAAAATAATAACAACAGAGATAAGATCAATAAAAATTACAGCAACAGTGATGAAATGAATAAGGATAGTAACCACCCAAATAAGCTGAGGGATAATGAAAACATAAATAAATACTTCACCAGTGGATATGGCAAACGAACAGTTGGAAGATCCTTCTTTAAAAAAATTGATTCAGCATCGAAGAAAAGATCCAAATGCCTTGATCATGAAACAAGAGTATGGAGAACTAGCTAATGAGTGTTCAGATGTTTACTATTCATATGGCAAAGCTTTGTTGGAACTTCATGGATTGGAATCCACAACTCTTGGAAACGTTTTGAAAAGCGATGATGAAAATGATGATGATGAAAATGATGAAATCAAGGAATGCAAAGATAAGAATGATGACAACAGTTCGGCTCATAGTGGGGCATCGAAAGGATTGGTTGATGAAGAATGTGAAAAGTATGCTAATGATAAATCTGCTAAAAACAATTATGGCGAAGAATCAGTAAAAAAAATTGAGAAGACTTTTGAAAATAATTTTGCAACAACAGAAAAGGAAACCCTAGCTATTGTTTATACTATAACCAAACTCACGTTACTTGATGAGATGCGAATTTGTGGTGTTTTCAGATCACGCACCACTTATGATGATCAATAGCAACAAAGTATCCAATCCAAGGATTACCAGATGGGCCATGTTATTGACAGGACTTTAACTACAGAGTACAACATGTGTCAGGAAAGAAAAATGTAGTTGCTGACACGTTGTCCAAATGTGGGGAGAGTAAATCCAAGGATGCAGAACTGCTACATGGAACCACCAGCCTCACGTGGGTTGGGGGATGTAATGAATTGTGCGCTTAGCCCTTTTTAGTTTCAGGGTGGTGAATAGTTGAACCGGGTAATTGGTAGTTAGACTTTGTTAGAGGTGATTCGAAGGACGTGTGGCCATATATATTTTAATTTTTGGAGTTTAAAAACAACTCATTTTTGTTTTGCGTCGATATTGCTGTTAATTAAATAAAGTTAATAATAAAAAACCAAACGTTGTAGTAATTCTTTTTGTCATAACTTAAAAGAACTCGTAACACTCCTATACATCTGGTGTTCGTATTTTCGAGTCGATGGTATCTGTCAGACATATGTGTAGTGTTGCTGGAAACTGTCATGTTCATGGCAGCTTCATATTTGTCGATCGTCTGTGCCAATACGTCATGACTCATCCAAAAAGCCGCTTGTTCTTGTGACAAAATAAATTCCAGTGTATGCCTTGATATCAACTCTTATTCTATCTATCTATCTATTCTATGCAACTATTAATTTCATTGCATCATCTAATCCCATAACGTTACGGCTTTGAAAATAGTGGTTTAGCGTGCCATATAATTTTGCCCCGAAACTTATGTATGATTCGCTATTCTGTTTTCTCAGGGCGAAGAATTTATCTCTCAATTTTGTCGGGTTTAACTTGAACTCCTGCAAAATGAGTTTATTAATTTCACCATGATCATTCAAACTGTCGGCAGAAATAGTATGCAACCATGTTTTGGTCTTTTCGTTCAAACTCATTATCAACAAATTGGCTTGAATTTTTCCGTCTACGTGATAGTTTTGGAAAAATTTTTCTACATGTTCAAAGAAAGCAGGAATATTTCTGGGTTCTAACGGACAAGTTCCTATTAGATGTTTTTATGACTCCGCAAAGACTCTTTCTCGCTGTCTGGCCATCTCTGCTTCTCTAAGTTTATATTCGCTCTCATTCTTTTCTCGTTGTCTAACAATCTCCGCTTCTCGAAGCATATATTCCATTTCTAACTGTTTTCTTTTGTATAAAGTCAATCCACTTACAGTATCTTCCGACCTTCCGACACAGAGCCCTCCATCGCAATACTGCATGGAGATTCAACGCTGCATTCAAGATAGCAGTCTAAAACAACAATGGCAACATAATCAACATAATCTAACAATATGTATACACACACACACACACACTAGAGCCCTGCGCGGTTGGAATTTTCAAAAACCGCAACCGCACAAAACCGCAACATTTGAAACCGCAACCGCAGCGCCGAAAACCGCACCGCAACCGCACCGCAAGAAATGAAAAACAACATTAATGCTTTTATTGACATTATAAATCACAACTATCTACATCCCTGTTTCGATCTTGTTTCAACACACATTTGGCTTCACATTTGTTACAACAGATAAATGATGTAGCCACGTTTTTAAAATAAATTCTGCTAAAATTTTTCCAAATTTCACTTTTAGAATTTTCTTGCGCTATTATAGAAACGTTTTCGCTTTTGGACAGCATCAATTTAATTAAAAATTCTTTATCAATTACATCTACCTGTGGATCAACTTCAACATTTTTTACCTCGGACATTTTTATAAAATAATCGATAATTAACCACGCCGTAAATAAAATAACTACTTCTTTCAAAGTAAACAGGAAAAAGAAAATGGTTGCTTCAACGGCTTCCAAAGATATTAAGATTTTTCAAAGACAATATATATATAAATTATTTCTAGGGATGCACCGAAGTTCGGCCCCGGCTCCGGCCAATTTCCGGATTTAGGGCCGGATTTAAGCGTCTATCGGCATTTAAAAATGTTATAAATAGAAAAAAAAATTTCATTGAATTCAATTAATTTTTTGTCAATAAGTTAAAAGCTAAGCATACATGACACATAATAACAACATCACAAATTGTGAAATGAGCTGGACAATTTTCTTTGTGCTATAACATGGGTTATGCATAAATTATAAGCTGATCTTTGTGCAAAAGAACTTGTGCACGTGTTTATACTATATAGTTGTATATGACGGATCATAAAGCTACATAATATATATGTATATATATATATATGTATATATATATATATATATATACATAATCGCATTATTTAAGAACATGGTATGTTAAAGGTTAGGCATACATGACACATAACAACAACATCACTAATTGTGAGGTGAGCTGGACAATTTTCTTTGTGCTATAACATTGATTATGCATACATTATAAGCTGATCTTTGTGTAAAATAACTTGTGCACGTGCATACATGACACATAATATTAACATCACTAATTGTGAATGAGCTGGACAATTTTCTTTATGCTATAACATGGGTTATGCATAAATTAAGCTGATCTTTGTGTACAGAATTTGGCGTATCACACAGCTTGTTCATATATCTAAATTAATTAACTATTTGCTTGGTGTTATTTTTTGATGTTCAACATGTAGATAACCGTAAATGTGAGTATTTTTTCTAACGTATGTAAAATGGTAACTAAAATCCGGCCCCGGCTCCGGCCGGTTTTTAAATTTTAAATCCGGCCAAGTCCGGCCCCGGCCGGATTTGAAAAACCTGAATCCGGTGCATCCCTAATTATTTCAATGATAATGCAATTTTTAGAATGTCATGGACGAACAAAAATATTTAACAAAATTTTTGCGGTCACCGCGGTTTTGATAAAAAAAAACCGCGCCGCGGAAAAACCGCACATTTCAAAACCGCAACCGCGTAAAACCGCATGATTTAAGCACCGCAATCGCAAAAAACCGCGGTTGCGGTGCGGTTTTTGCAGTTTAAACCGCGACAGTTTAAACCGCGACAACCGCAAACCGCGCAGGGCTCTAACACACACACATCACATACACATATATATATATATATGAAAATAATATATATATATAATATATATATATATATAATGTGTATGATGCGTGGTTTGCACGCGTATTCATATACGCTGTGTGTGTTTGTCGTTGAGGTACCTCACTGACTAGAAGGCTTACGATGCATAAACAGAGTGGTGCTATCAAATCTCATTTGGACTCAACACACTCAATCACAATTAGCCGTAAAATCCTCGACAGCAACACCAAAGTAATATACCAGAACAGCAACTACACGCATCTTAAAATTGCAGAAGCAGTCCTAATCGACATCAATAAACCAAAAATAAATATACAACAAAAATTGACAACCTCACTTCCAACCCGGCGCTTAACCAACAACGAAAACAAAGAAGTAATAAAAACTAACATCGTAAATAGTGACAAAGAAGAATATGATGCTATCGATGAAGAAAAGGAGACCAAAGTAGATGACCAGCCAATTAAGAAACCAGAATCCAAGACCCGTCTTCACTGGGCATAGAATGACCATAGAATCCAATGAGCATAGAATCACGAATTAAGTCTCTTAGATACCAGAATAGGCACCGAGTATTCGAAGCTGCCTAACTGGTGAACCCAAGGCGGACTCTTTTTGAGAACTTAAGACGTTTCCGTGCCAGTGAGCACAGAATATCGAATTAAGTCTCTTTGAGACCAGATAGGCACCGATTATTCAAAGCTGCCTAACTAGTCAACCCAGTGCGGACTCTCTTCACTTCCACACTCTTCCAAGATAAAGAAGCTCTATATCATTTCGGGTGTTTTTAAACATAAAAAATTTCCAAGGTATATCCAATTAATCAAAAAAAAAACTACTAATTAAATTTTAAAATAATTTGTAATAATTTATGACGTCATCTAAATTGCAAAACAAACAAAAAATCGTCTTGTCACCTATCGAGTAAATTAACTTGCACCATGCCCCTTATTGAGTGAATAAATTTTGCGTTGAAAGACTTTGAAGTATTTTTAGTCAGTATTATTTCATAATTCTGACACTTTCCACCAACCCCTCTTTCTGGTTACAAAAAATAAACAAAAAAAAAATAAATAAAAACAAAAATACGAAAAAAAAACAAATAAAAAAATAAACGAAAAAAAAAATTAAATTAAAAAAAAAAAAAATTAATAATAATAAAAAAAATTGTGCGCATAATGATTATAGGAAAGGAATGCCATAACCAATGAGGAGAAGGCACGCATTTCGTCCGCTTGCAAAAATCATGTTTTGTTTTTCTTCTGTCGAGTACATAAAAAAAAAAATAAAATAAAATATGAATCAAGAAAAAAAACAAAACCCCCATGACAAAGAAAACATGCGAGTGTGGATTTGTGGCGCAAAAGCCTAGGCATCTGCATAGACATAAGAAATACAATTGTATGGGGAGGAGGGCTAATAAAGCAGACTATCCAGCACAGAACGAAAGTGCGAGGTCAAGCGTAGATGATCAGAGGGTCGTCCCCAACCTCAACAACGACGTTGTGGAAGAACGGATGTGCAGGCGTTGATCCGGGAACTAGGAGACATTCCTACTTTTGAATTTTTTTTAGTTTGTTCTAAAAACTGTTTACAACTTCATTCCTAATAAAAGTTTTTAAAATTTAATATGGCGTCTGCTTTATTTTTACTAAAGAAAGATAGTTTAGTAAGTAAGACGCGTATATAAACGTAATAATGATTCATTGTATGATGTACCATTGAATGATGTAATTTGCAATCCGACACCAATTTTATACGTTGTGTGCCAGTTGCCGAAAAAATTGTACAGTTCAAATAAGTCTCTATATAATGGCATATGCATAACAACACAAACAGAATTAAGTTAAAATTAAACAAACACAGGAAACGAAAACATTGTTTTCATACATGCTTCAATTTATTTATGTGTACGACAATGGTTTTATAACCATTACACTTCTTAATCTAAAAATTTACATTACTTATTTTCTTTGAAATCATGTAAGGACCGTCATATAACTTTGTCCACTTAGGATACTTATTTTTAGAGCGCTTTGGATTATAATAATAAACCATTTGTCCTTCTAAAAATTGTTTATTCTTTACTCTTAAGTCATAATTATGCTTAGTTATTTCCACTGATCTCTTCAAATGATCTCGCACTAATTCAAATGCTTGTGTTAAATTTTCTTTCTGTTCCTTCACAAATTCGTACATTTGCTTTGGTGATGACTTCTCCGTGTTATATGCTAAATCAATCGGTATTGTCGCTTCTCTACCATGCATTAGGAAAAAAGGTGAAAATCCAGTACTACTCTGCACTGTTGTTCGGTATGCAAACATTACGTATGGAAGAATTTCGTCCCAATCTCGATGATTCTTATTTATCACTTTTCCTATCATTTTATTGAGTGTTCCAGAGAATCTTTCTACCACATCATTCGTTGAGGGTTTATAGGTAGTGGTACGGATTTTATCTACGCCAAGTTGTTCACAGATATTTTTAAATAACTGAGATTCAAAATTCTTACCTTGATCAGTTAGTATCTGTTTTGGTAGTCCGTATCTA